GTGGGTACTGTGTCCTGACAGAGAAGTTCCTCAACATCTCTGTCAGTTCACCTCTCAGTCTCAAATCTCATGCACACAAGTGGGCTCTTGGCCCAGCCTGATTTGGCTCACCTCCTGCCCTAGCATTCACTGGCAGATACAGCAGTGCCTGAGTGGTTCATACTCATTCTGGCTGTTACTGTTGGGTGCTACAGTCCAGCCCTGTCTGATTCAACCCCCAACATGGTTCTCAAGTGGTTCAGCTGATTCTGAGACCTAACCCAGCCTATCTCACACCCACTTTGGCTCTCATGATTGCCAGCAGGTGCTGGAGCCTAACCCAGTCTAGAACGCCCCAGACCCAGTGTACACACATGCTGAGGGGTGCTCCAATCATGTTCAACCCAGTTCTTTGAACTCATTCCAGCTCTCATGCTCACCAGTGGGAACTGCAGCCAACTGGGGCAACCCCTTAGCTCCTCAACCAGTCTTCTCCAATCCATAGATGGATGTGCCAGTGGTTTCTCCAAACCAGTCCAGCATGGCCCATTCCCCACCCTTCTTTGCCTTTGCCATAGGATGATGCAACTTGGCCTGCCTGAGTCCCACCTCTCACTGGTGGGTGCTATAGCCTTGCGCTGCCCAGTCTTCCCCCATCCCCAGCTCTCATGCAAACACTCAGGTACAGAATCCTCTCCTAGCATGGACTGTAGCTTATCCTGGTTTCCACACATGCCAGTGTGAGTTATGATATACCCTTGCCTTGCCAAGCCTACCCCCTTAGCCAGTCCATAGTGGAGCATCCCTGCCTGGTCTGTCCCACACCAAACCCCAACTCTCATGTTCACACCAGGAGCAACAGGCAACCAAGGGAGTTTCCTCCTGGACCCAGATCTCATGCATGTCAGCAGGTGCTAAGCCTGCCCTGCAATCTGCCCTCAAGTTTCGGCCTTTGTGAAGGCTTATGAATAGTATGTCCCAGCTTGACACACTCCCAATTCTAGGGTGTGCCTGCAGGTGCTTCAGATTGGGCCAGCCTGACTACTCTAAATCCCAACTCCCGTGAGTGTCAGGAAATCCCATGTCATGCCTAGCTCGGCAGTTACCACCCCCAACTCCTATACAAACCAGCCAGTGGTGTTGTGGGCTAAGGAGTTAACTAGCACTCGTTAAGCCGAGGAGTGACAGGAAATGGGTTTGTGGCTAAAAACACCTAGACTAATTGGACTTAGCTGTATCCAATTTCCTGACTAAATTAGGACTTGGGGGGGAAGAGTATATAAGGAGAGGTGAAGGAGCAATAGAGAGACTTATACCATCACTGGTCTCCTGTTGGTGCTTCATCCCCAGACGCTCTTCCTGTCCTCATTACTGGCTCTGTTGGCCGGAGAACAGTGTGTGTTGCAGTCCCACAGGAATGAGACCACAAATTCCCCGTCTCAATCTGGCCCAGACCCAGTTTTCTCACGCACTGGTTAGTGTCATGGCTCAGCCCAACATGGCTCACCCCCTGCAACGACACTCACTGGCAGATACTGTGGCCTAGTCCTGTCAGGCAGGCCAACCAGCCCTAGCTTTCATGTGTCCCAGTGGACTGGGATTGACGCCAGCTAGTCCAGCCCAGATCTCCCAAGTGGGCAGGTGTCCTGGTCTGACCCAGACATGTTCTCCAGATAACCACCTCCAAATCACCTGGCATAATCCCTCTCACTTACCTGTATTTGCAGTGGCCCAGTCCATGGAAGTCACCCAGAAGTCATTCCTTACTGTAATGTACTTCTTCAGAAGTACCCCTAACTGTACACCCCAAACCCATTCAGACATCATTCACAATCACTACTTCCATGGACAAGTGTGCCAGGTTAACAGTCCTCAGGCCTGGACTTTGTTGTTATTTTTAAAGATTTATTTATTTTTATTACAAAGCCAGATACACAGAGAGGAGGAGAGATAGAGAAGACCTTCCATCCGATGATTCACTCCCCAAGTGACCGTAACAGCTGGTGCTGTGCCGATCCAAAGCTGGGAACCAGGAACCTTTTCCAGGTTTCCTGCATGGGTGCAGGGTCCCAAGGCTTTGGGCCGTCCTTGACTGCTTTCCCAGGCCACAAGCAGGGAGCTGGATGGGAAGTGGAGCTGCCGGGATTAGAACCGGCGCCCATATGGGATCCTGGCGCGTTCAAGGTGAGGACTTTAGCCACTAGGCAACTCCGCCGAGGTTGGACTTTGAGCAGCTTAGTACATTCCTACCTGCCTCAGGATCCACCACGAGGTGACATCTCTTTATTCAAAAGAAAACAGGGCAGTGTCTACAATACACAAGTATAACCCACAACTTGAAAGCCCACAACACATGTCAGAAAGCATACTCAAGTCCTGGCTATTCCACTTTCAGTTCAGTTTCTTATCAACGCATCCTGAGAGACAACAGATGATGGTACAGGTGCTTGGGCACTGCCACTTATGTGGAAATCCAGATAGAGTTACAGACTCCTGGCTTTAATCTGGCCCAGCCTGGGCTATTTCAGAAGTGAATCAGGGGACCTGGCATGGTAGCTAACAGCTACATCCTTACCTTGCAACCACTGAGATCTCATATGGGCAGTGGTTCCTGTCCCAGCTGCTCCACTTGCTTCCAGCTCCCTGATTGTGGCCTGGGAAAGCAGCAGAGGACAGCCCCAAACCTTGGAACCCTGCAGCTATGCAGGAAACCCAGTAAAAGTTTTAGATTCCTGGCTTCAGATTTGCTCAGCTCTGGCCATTATGGCCACTTGAGGAGTGAACCAGCAGTCTAAAGATCTTTCTCTCTTTCTCTCCTCTATAAATATAAGAGGAAGTATTTTTCTGGTCAACAGAAAATTTGTTCAATGTTTTAAGTATATATAAACCTCCAGTGAAATATTCCCCTCCTGAGTAGCCTGAGTGTCTAACATTTTCTCTTACAATAATACTATGATAAAACTGCCTTATTGTTGCTCATCAGCTTGATGCTTCACCATCAATAGAGCAAATTCCACGGATTCACATGCCAGCTGAAACAGATCCAGAGTGTGGATTAGCAAGAAGCTAGAATCACAAGTGGAACCAGTACCCAAATCCAGGCATTCCAGCATGGAATATGAGGTCCCAAGCAGCATTTGAACTGCTGGACCACGTGTCCTCTCCTGCTCAGAACTCTTCATGTCACAGAGAAAGCACATCTCCATGCTTACAAAAATCTGAATCCTTCACACTCCTGCTGTTTTTGGTTGGCTTTGGTTTTCCTGTCATTGCAACAGTTGGACCTGGAAGCACTAAGAGGTGATATATTTGACCATATTCATGAGCAAACTTTTCAGCACTTGAACTTGCAATTGAAAACACTCTCTTCCTTTTCATCTTAGTACTACTTATTGCTTCTTCTAGTAACAGATCTCTTCTTTCCACAGTTACAGCCCTCATCCTTAGATTTCCTGAATGAACACAGCACAATGTTTTCATGTGTCATAGGAATTTACTGAGGAGTGGAAAAGCAGCCATGCATCTTCCATTTCAGAAAGCGAAATAAACAAAGTAGGCCATTAGATTCTTTTATGCTATAATCCATCATTATTCAGTTCCATGGCAATGTTTATAGGATGGCAAACTTTTGTCATCAAATAAGGCAAATGCTTCCAGAATAGAGCTGGGACCACTGCCATTCTCTTAGTCCCTCTGTTTAGAACAAACTGAATATTTAAACCCAGTTTGTTGCACAAGGTATCTCAGATCCAAATAGAATTTCTTCATATTCAAAGTGAATTTAAAACCCATGAAAATTTTAATGACAAAAGCAATTATTTCATACTATAATATGACCTATCCTAAACCAGTTCAAAAAGCAATCAACATTCAACATCCTCTGTATGGACATAAGGCAAGAACCACGAGTCTTCATAGCCACAGGAAGAGAAAGTCCCAGAGGCATCAGGGACTCCTCTAAAGGCCTTCTCTCACAGGGAATCTGCAGCTCCAGAAGGGTTACACTGAGCAGTTGGAGCAGGGAGGGGCCTTACGAAGGGTAGGAAAGTAATGGAGACTCAGCCCCTGGGGGAGCACCCTCTGCACCAGAGCCCAAACTGAGCCCTTCCCCTGGGGGTCTCCCAGTCTCCTCCAAAGGAGAATCACTCACGGTCCCAGGGAGCCCCTCAGACCCACCCACTGGGGAGCAGATGCTCAGGGACACATCTTCTGACTTAAGCATGAAGTATGGGAAGAGGGGTCCAGAGAATGAAGTGGGGGGGAAGGAGAAAATGTGGGACCCATCTGTCATATTATAGAAGGATATGTCCCCTTCACTGTAGTCCAGGAAGATCCCAACCCTGTGGGGATCCTGCCTAAGAACTACAGGCTTTAATTTGTCAGGACAAGCATGACAAATATTATAAAAAAATTTCACAACCCAGAACCCCTTATCTGGGGACGGTATATATGAGTCTGTCCTTGTCACCTTCTCCCCACAGACTCCAAGACCCCATTTTTTTATCATTGCAGCCCTGACCTCCACCTCCCAGTAACATTTTCCTGATGTGATGCCCTCAAGGCCCAACACACTGGAGTACTTCCAATAACCCAATCTTCTGCCCTTACAGGTCACACTGGTCCTTTCAGGAGAAACAGCAAGGTTGGCATCAGCAGAATCTGGATCCAGAGTGACAGGCCCTGCAGAGAGAATCCTCAACCAAGTAAGGCCCATCTTTCCCCATAACCAGGATGCCAACCCAACCCTAGAGCCCCTACTTGCATGGAGAAGGAACAGGGCCAGTGAGCTAAGGGCCCTTGAACTCAAGCCCATGGCCTCCAAACAGCAGGAGGAACCACAATGCTCTGAGAGTCAGATGTGTCACAGAGACCTGAGGAGCACACCCAACTTCGTTCCTTATAGATCCCACCCCACCACTGCTGATGGTGTCAGAATTTCCATCATCACAGGGAACTGAAGGAGAGGTAAGTACTGTAGGAACCACAAGAGGAGCACCCAGAAAGAAAACAGAGTCACTCACAGGCCTGGAACTCTTCCTTCTGCCAATCTAAAAGAGAACACACACTTATATCAGGGTCTGCACAAGACTGTACACTTGATGGCAGCTGTTCTCCTGAAACAGTGATGGGAGAATGAAGGGGAAATGTACTAGTATACATTCAGATGATTCAGAGCTTCTTACACACACACACACACACACACACAATGCAACAACCTTCCTACAAAAGCCAGACATGAAGCTAATATCCCAGGACTGAGAAACTGAACTCTGACCTCAACAACAACAAAGTCATTACCAAGATTTCACTATCAATTAGTGCTAATCAATTTCCTAGACACAAAACCATCCTGAAAGCTAGATTTATACTTGAGAGAAAATTGAGGAAATCAATATTCCAAGTCCCTCCATTCCCTTTGCAGTGTACTAACTACGCTGAACTTACATTTCATTTCTAACACATGGGTAGAAAGTATCTTTACAACATGCACATGAGAAAATGGGGAACCAAAAGTTCCCACATACTGTGGAGGGAGATGGAGGGTCTCAGAGCTGTCCAGAGAATCAGTGGACAAAGGAAGGTCTAAGAGAAGAAGAAAACCCAAAAGAGTACATCAATTTCCATTCAAAACCAAGTCACCCAGACCATGAGCTCCAATGTCATGGTGTATGCTTGCCAATGGTACCCCTAAATGATGACACAGGACCTGTCCCTACCTGTATCCAGCTGACATCACCATAGCTGCTTAAGGACCAGCCCCACCTCCCCAGCATAAGCACCTGAAGAACAAAAGGAGAGCACAGAAAGCCTCTCCCACACCTCCCAAGACCACTGCATTTATTCCACCTCCATGCTCCTCCTTGGATGGAGGAAGGCAGCTACTGATCAAAGCAAAGCCTCTACTCATGCTCAGAGTCAAAGGGTTGTAAGGTGAGAGAGCTTTACTTGCCCAGTTCAGGCACTTTTATATTATACTCTACCTATAATTGTAAATCATCTGAAAAAACTTTACAAACTCATGTTACTAAAAACAAGAAGTAATTCTAATCAATTGACTGCAATTTTAAAAGCATCTAAAGATCTTAAACTGTTGCTAAAACTATTTTTGTTCTGACCTAAACTAAGATCACTAAATCAACAAAAAATCTCTTTGGTTCATGTTACTTAAATCTCTAATAGGCTGTTATTAAAACATTTTAAATCACTGAGGCAATTATGCTCGATTTCACTAATCAAAAAGTTATTCTTGTTATATTCTCATTGCTCTCTCTATTATACAATTTAGTTTTGTTTTTTTTAAGATTTATTTATTTTTATTACAAAGTCAGATATACAGAGAGGAAAATCCTCCGTCCGATGATTCACTCCCCAAGTGACCGAAACAGCTGGTGCTGTGCCGATCCAAAGCTGGGAACCAGGAACCTCTTCCAGGTCTCCTGCATGGGTGCAGGGTCCCAAGGCTTTGGGCCGTCCTCCACTGCTTTCCCAGGCCACAAGCAGGGAGCTGGATGGGAAGTGGAGCTGCCGGGATTAGAACCAGCGCCCATATGGGATCCTGGCGCGTTCAAGGTGAGGACTTTAGCTGCTAGGCAATGCCGCCGGGCCCTACAATTTAGTTTAATTACAAAGCTGTGCTCTTGTCTCAAACTTACAGCAGGCATCAGCTTTGGATAAATTTTTCCTAAAGGTTTTTCTTGATGCTATCTCTCATAGTCTTATGGCTCCACTTCCCACTTAATTTTCAAAATTTGCCTCAAATTTTGCTGACAAATATTTTTCTAAATCCATATTCTCTAATAAGGCCTTTTAAACCCTATCTGGGTGAGAAAACCAAATGACTGTTATCCTTGAACACTAATAACATGTGGCAAAGGTTACATGCTTGTCTCCACAGAACTTCCTGATAAATCCTCTGAGAAACTATGGGTTCCTCTATGATTTATTCAGCTTCAGAAGTGCAGCAGTTCCCTCAACCTCACCCTCCATTGTTTTAAGGGGTTGAATGGGCAGATAAGGAACCTTTACTTGAATTAATGACTGAACATTTTCCTGTATCTTGGAGATCAGAGGTGCCAGTGTTTTCAGGGGAAGAGGGTAAATGCTTCAATATCTCTTTAGGATTTCATAGTCTTCCCCTGTGTTTTAGGTGCTGACTTTCCATGTTTACCTCTGGTAAAACAAACCTGGTTTCATATTTTAACACCTTTGAAAAGACCAAAATGTTTTTTGTTATCAACCAAGCTTTATCCTTCAATGTAACTGATGGAAATTATGCTAATATAGGAAAGCCTCATCTCTTTTTATGTATTATTATCTTTATGAACACTGGGAATATCAACCTGTCCATTGGAACCACTGTAGAGCCTTAGAAGGAAAATTCTTTTCTCATAACTGTTCTGATTTTGATTGGGAATCCCATCGTAAATTTTCACACAACTGTAGTGAGGGTTATAATCACAATCTATATAATCATTTAATTTCTTGCTCCTGGAATAATCCTCTCATGAAATGCAATGGCTAATGACCTGGTATGATGGAGATTTGTTCCCTTTTTACCCTCCTCCTGCCTGTTCCATGACTATGTCCTTTATTCCAAGCAGATTCAATTATGGAAATTAACAGATGCTTCATGACCAGGACTGTATTAAACAGCAAACTTCTTGGTAATATTCATAGCTATAGCAGTTATGACATTTTTATAATAGTACTTTTTATTTATGTTCAAGCCTGTTCCAACCTCATTTATATGTTGGCTATTGGAATGTTAAGTTTTAATTTCACTATCAATAATATTGACTATTACTATTATAGACTTTATACCTATATTAATAACAGTATGGATTTTTCCTGTCAAAATCATAGTATCCTTGTGTTATGTGCTCAACAAAATATTTGGTTGCCCATTAACCTTACCCAAGAATGGCAACACTCCCCAACAGAAGGGCTCCTATTGAATGTGGTTTCTAAATAGTTGTACCTCACTAGGGCTTGGTACAATGACTCAATTGGTAAATCCTCAACGTTCAAGTGCCAGTATCCTTTATGGGCACCAGTTTATGTCTCAGCTGCTCAACTTCCCATCTGGCTCCCTGCTTATGACCTGTAAAGCAGAGGAGGATAACCAAATGCCTTGAGATCCTGCATACAAGTAAGAGACCATGGAAAAGCTCTTGGCTTTTGGCTTCAGATTGATTCAGCTTCAGCCCATCAGTGCCATTTGAGGTGTGAACCAGCAGATAAAAAATCTTTCTCTCTGTTTCTCTTTGTCTCTGTAACCCTGATCTGTATTTCCAGTAAAATAAACAAATATTTTAAAAATATATTGTACTGGACTAAACACTTCATTAGACTCATCATTTTAACTCATGGGCTGGGCTTACTGCTATTATAGCTATTGTAACAGTTGCCAGACTGCCATTACAGCTGTGTGTCCAAACTCATGATTTTGTACAACAGTGGCAAAATAATCTCATCACTTTTGGACTCCACAGGAAAGATTAATGACGATCTCAAAAAACGGGTCAACAGTATTTGAATAGGCTCCAACCTGGTTGGGAGAGCAAGCAATAAGAAGCTTCAGCCTGTGATTGAATGTTTCCTATTTCTGTGTTACTTCTGCTAAATATAACAGCTCTATCTATATTGTATGCTGTATACTTTCAGAGCAAATGAGATAATATAACTCTAGACACTGAGCAAATAAAATCAGAAATTTTGGACACTTTCAACACCTAGTTGCCCAGGGTCTTACGAAGGATTGGTGGTGGGAAACTGATGATGCCCTACAGGGAATAGATCCCCAAATACTCATTCAAAGTATCATTCATTCATTATCTTCTGAGGGAATTGCCTTTATTGTCTCCTTTTGTTTTTTATTGGAGGTTGCATCATGTGATGGTAAGTAAATGAACACCATGAAAACAACAATCAAATGCCATTCACATACTTCACTTAAAAAAACAAAAAAGGAAGATTTTTAGAAAGGCAATAATTTTCAGAAAAACAGGAAATCTCACCATGTAAAACCATAACCAGCTGAAAATTCAGGGAAAAGGCCCTGAAATATTTGAAACAGGAAAACAAAAGTATAGGAACTCCCTGATGTTCAAGCTGTGATAACAGATCAAAGAGGTGTTTTCCATTTCTTTCATATGTACACTGTTTAATTATTAGTAGTCTACTTGCAAAACACATTGCTCATTAATTGACCTCCCTTGCATGCATATATACATAAATCACATCCTGTTGCAGACCCTCCTTCCTTCTTTCCATTCAGCTCTGCTCAATGCCTAGGAAAACACAGGAGGGTGGCTTGATTCCTTGGGCCCCTGCACTAATGTCAGAATCCCAGAAGAAGCCCCTAGCTCATGGCTTTGGATTGGCTTAGCTACAGTCATTTCAGGTGATTCAAAAGTAAATCAGCTGGCAGAAGGCTCTCTCTTTCTCTGTCCTTGTGCATGTGTGTTTCTGTGTGTGTATATGCATGCATGTATCTCCTTCACTCTCTGTAATTTTTCCTTTTGAATAAAAATAATGAATAAGTGTTTAAAATTCAGTGCACAATTCATTTAGTTTTCACAAGAAACATGTTAGAAATTGTTTCAGTGTCATAACTAGAGATCATCACAAGAAACTCTCAATTTTACCATAATAATGGGGTTTGTTCTTAAAAACAATAGGCACAAGACCCTGAATATGTGTATTAAATTACAAAAGACATAAACTCAGCAGAAAAGAGGAAAAGAGGATGCGTAATGAAATGAAGGATGAGAGGAAGGGAGGGAGGGAGAAAGAGAGAGAGAAAGAGAGAAAAAGGAAGGAAGGAAGGAAGGAAGGAAGGAAGGAAGGAAGGAAGGAAGGAAGGAAGGAAGAAAGAAAGAAAGAAAGAAAGAAAGAAAGAAAGAAAGAAAGAAAGAAAGAAAGAAAGAAAGAAAGAAAGAAAGAAAGAAAGAAAGAAAGAAAGAAAGAAAGAAAGAAAGAAAGAAAGAAAGAAAGAAAGGAAGAAATGGACAAACACCTACTCGGAGCAGTCAATTGGCCTCACAGCTCACACTAAAGCCACTGGTTAAGTTGCCCACAGTTCACATCTGAGTGCTTGGATTTGATGCCCAGATCCAGCTCCCAATACTTTTTCTCCTGAACATGCTGGAAAACAGCAGGAAGATGATGGATCAATGCTGAATTCCTGCTACTGCCCATGTGGAAGACTAAGAATGAATTCTTGCCTCCTGAATTTGGTCCCTGAAACAACCCTGAACATCATAGGCATTTATGGAAAGCAGCATCAAAAAAGTGTCTAAGTGTCTGTTTTCTTTCTCTCTCTCTCTCTCTCTCTCTCTCTCTCTCTCTCTCTCTCTCTCTCTCTCTTTCTCTCTCTTTCTGTCTCTCTCATTCTCGACTCAAATAAATATTCTAAAATTCAAAACGGGAAAAAGTATTCAGCCTGATGATTAAAACACACAACATTCCAGTTGACATATCGGGTAGATTTCCAGCTCCATCTACTCACTCCAACTTCTTTTGAGTATGGAGACTTAGAAGCAGCACCGAGCAGTTGGGATGCTCACATCACATGGGAGACTTGAACTTAGTAGCCAGCTATGGGCTTTGATCTAGCCCAGCACAGGCTATTAATGGCAGCTGGAGAAAAAACTAGCAAACGGTCTCTCTTGTCTTTCGCTCTCTCTTCCTCACTCTCTTTCTCCCTATGAAATAATCCACTCATAATACACAAAACAGTGCAATAATTTCAAATACTTCATAGACACCACTCAGAAATGCATCCACAAATATCCTGAATGCTCAGATTCCCAGATTTACAACTATTCAGAGTAACTGATTCCTCAGCAAACAAGGATGTGTACAGAAAGACACCCAGCTTGGAGAGTGGTCAGAATACAAGGCACAGCAAAGACACATCCCAGAGGACCAGGAAGAGAAAGGATAACAAAGCTGAACCAAAAAGGGCAGGTTTCGGGATAAGGTCACAGAATTAATGAAGTCTAAGCAGGTGGGAGTAGTTTCCAGTCTCTTCTAAACACTAGCAATTCTTGATCTGGGCAGCTATTGCCCTGCTAATCTCTCCCTGAGGTCACCACCACAATGAAAAGGGTAAGTTGAACAAGGACTCCCAGAGGGTGTCTCTAGCCCTAACAGTGATATGAGTAGAGGGAAAGCCCAGAGTGGAAGCAGCTGGACTCCCAAGGAGGAGTCCTTGTTGTGGCCAACGTGGGAGGAAGGGAGCATATGGGGCAGGGAAAGCAAGGACACCCCTCCCATGTGGGGGAAGTCCATAGACAGAGGAGAGGCAGAGCACAGCAAGGTTTGGGGGAGGGGAGGCAAAGGAACCATCAGCTCACTTACCAGCATACAGATGCGCCTTCCTCCCAGCTGAAAAGAAACACACATGTGAGACCACAGCCACCACCTGTTCAACCCCCACCTGCCCTCTGTGCTGAGGGGAGACAGCAGGAGAAGGGGGGCTGCAGAGGAGTGGCCTCCTGCAGTGTCAGACAGCAGAGGACTGTGGGAAATTCCTGGCCACAGATCAGGAAGCCTGTATGACAGGTAGAGTTGCACCCTGATCCACTGCTGTGTGCTGTTTGGCTGCCAAATCACCACCCTGCACCTCAAAACTCACAGAAACTGCTGTGTCATGTGCCCCATATTTAATTTGTCATGATTAGGAAAAAAACTGTATATCACACAATATTTGGTGAAAAGTATAATTGACTCCATATTTATAACAGTTAGTTATCATACAGTATTTCCAGAAAAGGAGATACTGAAGAAAAAGTTCTGAGGCACAAGTCATCCAGTTGGTTGCCAAACATCACACAGCAGTGGGACAGGGGTACCACTGCATCTGTTGTACAAGCTTCATCACCTGTGGCTCAGGAAGACAAAATGAGTGAGTGGTTTGGAATCTGGCATAGCTGACATCTACATTTTCACCATCCTGTATCAGTGCAAATTCAATTCCATTTGCTTTGCTTCCATTCCAGCTCCCTGCTAATGCAGCTTGGAAAGCAGCAAAGTAAGGTCCACATGCTTGGGCCTCTGTACCCATATAGGAGACCAGGAAGAAGTCTTGGTCCCAGATAGAAAACATCTTTCTATATGCATCTTGCCCTCTCTGGCTGTAACTCTGCCTTTCAAAAAGAAACAGCGAAAATTTAAAATGTAGATATATAAATGTATAGAGAAAAGTAACACTACTCTCAGAAACATTTACCTCCTAATACCCCTTCCCCCACCTGGTCAGCAGCATAGTTCTCTTCCCATCCATTCTCACTGGCACTGGTGAGGAACAGGTAAGAAATGCACCACACACCATACACACCCACCCCCAATGCAGGCAGTGATTTGGGAAGCAAACAGGTCACGTTTTCAGGCTCAAAGATCCACTGACTCAAATGCCATCTCTCATAAAACCTAGAGCATCTTCTTTAACTTCTTGGTACATGTCAACAGCTCAGTGTATTGTAGGATAAACACTAACAACCATGTGGGGGCAGGTCAGGGTTGGAATGAAATCCAGAATGCAGGACAACCTTCTGGCCCATCATTGCAACCTGGGATCAAAGGATAGACAAGAAATAGGGCCCAGTGCGGTAGCCTAGCAGCTAAAGTCCTCACCTTGCATGCACCAGGATCTCATATGGGCACAGCACATGCAGCAGCCGCCCTGCTTCCCATCCGACTCACTGCTTCTGGCCTGGGAAAGCAATCGAAGATGGCCCAAAACCTTGGAACCCTGCACCTGCGTGGGACACCCAGAAGCAGCTCCGGGATCCTGCTGTAGATTGGTTCAGCTCTGACCATTACAGCCACTTGGGCAGTGAATCAGTGGACAGAATATTTTTCTGTCTCTTCTCTTCTCTATATATCTGACTTTCCAATAAAAAACAAAGAAATCTTCCAGGTCTCCCCTGTGGGTGCAGGGTCCCAAAGCCTTGGGCTGTCCTCGACTGCCCTCCCAGGCCACAAGCAGGGAGCTGGATGGGAAGTGGAGCCGCCAGGACTAGAACCAGCGCCCATATGGGATCCCGGCAAGCTCAAGGCTAGTTTAGCCGCTAGGCCACGCCGCCGGGCCCTAAATAAATCTTTTTTTGAAAAGCATAGACAATAAACAGTTGCCCAGTTGGGAAAAAGCAGAGTAAGATTAGCCACCCACCACTGCCCTGCTGCCTCCAGACCTCCATATCTCCGTGCCAGGACAGAAACAAGGAGAGGGAACAGCTGGGCACAGGAGGGACAGGAAACCACAGGACATCTCCAAAGTCACTCACCAGCCTGGTACGCTGCCTTCCTCCTACCTGAAAAGCACACAGGGAGCAAGTGAACTAAGAGCCACAGTGTCCTCTCCAAGAAACAAAGATTCACAAGGGAGAGCAGAGCTTACCGAGTTCTGCCTGGAGCTCATCTGAAAGAGAGTGGAAACACCATGAACGCCACAACAGAAAGAGGAGAGCACACACTGCCTGCAGACCTCACAGGAAAGCCCTTTTCTGTGTCCTATACACAGCTCTGACTCCAGACCTCCAGACCTCCACACCCCCAGCTATGCTCTCTGGACCTCCACAGTCGCCTTCTGTGGAAAGCTGCCCCCATGCATTCCAGTCATGTCAGTTTTCTTCTCAGCACCAGTTTCTGCCCCCACTTTGCCTGGCCCAGTCCTGCCTACCTCTGGACTTCAGCGCCTTCACCTTTTCCTGTTGCTCTGCATCTTTAATCCAGCAAAGATTAAAGTGTTTCTGCCTCTCCCGCACCTTTGCAGAATGCTCTCTCTTGGTGACCCAGCCAGCTCCAACAAGTAGCAGTCCCAGCACAGTCAGGCTCACAGTGAAAGCTGCCTTCCAGGGAGAGGCCTGAGGGAAGAAGGGCTCTGTGCCCAGCAGGACACACAGTCAGGGGAGAACCCAAGCCCAACCAGCACACCCAGGGACACCACTCTCTCCATTCCTTCTAGAAAAGAGAGGCAGCACTGACCTGGGATCGGGATGGCCATGACCTTCTCCTGGCCCAGGATGGGATTGAGGATGGAGCAGGTCACGTTCCCTGCAGAGCTGTCTCTCACCACCAGAGCAGCCTCCACGCTGAACAGCCCTGCTGCATCTTGGGTGTGGGCCTCAGAGAACTCCAGAAACTTCTCTCCACGGACGTCTCTCCACTGCACCTGGGGCTTCGGGAACCATCCCGAGGCCTTGCACACCACACGAACTCCATCCTTCTCTGGCCCTTCAATGTGCACTTGTGGGGAAGATCCTAAACCTGCAACAGAGGAGCTGGGAGGACCTTGGAGACCCACTTGGTCCCAAATCCTTAACAGAATCTAATTGCCACCCAACTTCAAGGGGAGCCAGTGGGAAGGGCATGCCCTGAAGCATGCAAGGACCTTAGGGTCCCCTTGGAAGTCTCATGGGGAGGGGGCTTTTCTCTTTCATTATGCAGGTGAAAACCAAGAGTCAGAAGCAACAGAAGATGTTTGACCCTCAGACTCCATGCATGAACCTTTAGTCTTCATTTCACACATATTCCTGGGAATCTAATTCTAACCCACTGCTTCTCTTTGTAAATAAATCATTCTCAAAACTATACCACCTCCTCAGTCACCTTGCCTCATGCACATTCCCTACAAGCTATCTCAAACAGTTTTTATTACAGATGCTTGAAACTAAACATTTCAGAACTGAATTCATAATGTTGACTCATTTGTGATGACTCTACCAAATACTCTGTAGTTTCTTCATATTCTGACTCTGGAGTTGGTCATGTAATTTTTTTGGCCAGTAAGAGATTAATGTGACAAGCAGAGATTTAAAAAGCACTTGGCCCCGACTCTAGACAACTGCCTAGATTGCCTTGTACCAAGGTAAGTGTTATACTGCTAGGAGAAAATCAGCTGTTAGCTAGCAGGTACTCTGAGCCTGGTTCATGCCAACTTCATTTTAATTATAGCAGTATGTCAGCATAGTAGTCTATTATATATTTTTAAAAAGATATGTGTGGAGCAGATGCTGGCATGCCAGCAGACACCAGAATACCTGCAGACAGGGTCTGGGGACCTGCACATGAACATGCGCAGGTTACATTAAGGCCAGCACGCCACACCACCAGAAGACCAGGCTAAGCAAACTGCACTCTTGTGAACAAGTAGGGCTGTGAATTGCTCAGGGAAGTGGGTATGAGGTTGTATTGGAGGAAAGACTACTGAGGGATGACATTACAGGTGATGGTTTCTGGGAGACTTCCACACTCTGGGCTACTGCAAATGCAGGTAAATGAGGGAGCTGAGACTGGATGGTTTGGAGGCAGAAAACCAGGGAAGTTTCAGGGCCAAACAACTGTACCCATCCATATGGGAAACCTGATGTGGGATTGTTGGTAGCAAGCACCACCTACAGGTGCACAGGAAAACTAGGGCTAGAGACTGCCTGGTAAGAATTGACCACAGCATCCACTAGCGAGTGTCAAGGTCGGGGGTGAGGCATGTTAGTCTAGACTATGACACTAACCAACATGTGAGAGAACTAGGTTAGGGGGCCATTTCTGTGAGAGATTTGTGAATTCACCCCTGTAAGACTGCAATACTAGCTGGCTTGCTCAAGTGCTGGGGGTGATGACGGGCCAATCTAGGCATGACCACAGAACTCACTAACACATATAGGAACTGCAGTTGGGAATAGACTGGGCTGCTACAGTACCCACAGACACACACAAGAATTGGGAGTAGGACAAGCTGGAACACAACATCTACCAGCACACACAGGCCAAGACTGAGAGGCAGACTATGCCAAGTAGGGGCCTGGGACCAATTGGCATGTGAGACCTGGGTTTGAAAGTAGGTCTGGTGGAGAAACTTGTGGAACTCCCCTATTGGGCTGTAGCTCCCACTGCTGAGTTTGAGTCAGGTCTGGGTGTGGGTCAGACCAAGCAAGACAGCTCCACTTCTCAACTGGTGTGTGCTGGGGACCATGCAGAAGGTGTGGATGGCATGAAGGTGTGAAGAGAACAGCTCCCCTGTGAGGCAAGGTCCGGGGGAGTTTCCAGCTGTTAGGCAAGGCCCAGCGGATTTCTCTCTGACCACCTTGACACAGTTTTACCACCTTTTTGCATGGAAACTCAAGCACCCGACTAAGAATTCTGTAATCTATTGAAGCATTGTTTGCCACTGATGTGAGCTTAAGAGTTAATGTCGGGCCCGGCGAGGTGGTGCAAGTGGTTAAGGTCCTCGCCTTGCACGCCCGGAATCCCATATGGGCGCCGGTTCTAATCCCGGCAGCCCCGCTTCCCATCCAGCTCCCTGCCTGTGGCCCGGGAAAGCAGTCGAGGACGGCCCAAAGCTTTGGGACCCTGCACCCGCGTGGGAGACCCGGAAGAGGCTCCTGGCTTCGGCTCAACATAGCATCGGCCATTGCGCTCACTTGGGGAGTGAATCATCGGACGGAAGATCTTCCTCTCTGTCTCTCCTCTCTGTATATCCGTCTTTCCAATAAAAAAAAATAATAAAAATAAATCTTTAAAAAAAAAAGAAAGAAAATATAATTGTTTTAGCTGCTTTTATAATTTTTAGCTAGAGGAATTAAGGATGTTTTTATTTTAAAAAATGCTTTTGATTATTGTCTTATTGTTTATGGGGTTGTAGGAGTCTATAGTTGTAGGGAGATTTAACATTTGAAGTTTCTGTTTTAGATTTTAGGTTTTTTCCCTTGTAACCTATTTTCCCATTAAATGATGGGTAAATTGTAGAAGTAGAAATGTGGTGGGAAAGTACTACTGATTAGCAGGTAATCTCATGTGCCTTGGCCTTGGAGTCCTGGCTGTTGCTCCATGAAAAATAAATAATAGCTTGCTTTGAAGAATATGAATGCAGTATTTGGCAGAATTATCTTTAGGGGCACCTGCTTAGCCTTGAAGTGCAGACAGAATGACCAAATGTCTGTACATGCCCCACTAGTTTTGAAGTAAAAAACAGAACAATTAGTTGCTTGTATAGAAGCTTGAGAGGAGTTCTGAGTAAATAAAAAGGACAGCTTTTCTTGAGCTGTGGTGAGAACGCACCATGTGTCTGTTTCTGTGTCTTTCTTTTTTTTTTTTAAAGATTTATGTTTATTATTTTTTATTGGAAAGGCGGATATACAGAGAGGAGAGACAGAGAGGAAGATCTTCCGTCCGATGATTCACTCTCCAAGTGAGCGCAATGGCCAATGCTATGCCAATCTGAAGCCAGGAGCCTCTTCCAGGTCTCCCACGCGGGTGCAGGGTCCCAAAGCTTTGGGCCATCCTCAACTGCTTTCCCGGGCCACAAGCAGGGAGCTGGAAGGGAAGCGGGGCTGCCAGGATAGAACCGGCGCTCATATGGGATTCCGGGCGTGCAAGGCGAGGACCTTAACCACTGTGCCATCGCGCCGGGCCCTCTGTGTCTTTCTTTATCGCCGACTCCACGCACCCTTCCCGAGCTCCGAACTCTGCTGGAGCTGGACTCCGGCAGGTATGTGGCCTGCCTTGGAGGTGGGGGGTTGATCAGGAAAGGCTGGGCCAACCTGTAGCATACTGTTATGCACAACAGCCAGGATGGGATGTGGGCCATACTAGGCTATGCAATCACACCTACCAGTTTGGATAAAATCCAGGGATTGAGGGCAGATTGGACTGCAGCACCCACCAATGAGAGCTGGGCTAGGCCCAGCCAGGCTGGAGCAAAGGCCAAGATTGGGGGACAGGGGCACGTAGACCATGCCAGGTAGGGTCAGAGCAACCACTGGGATGCACAGGATCTATGGTTGGAAGTAGGCTTCTAAAGGAGTTAAGGGGATCCCCCTCCCCTGCTGAGCTGCAGTTCCCACTGGTGAGCATGAGAGCTGGAATGGGGGCAGCAAACTGGGCTAGATATGGCTGAAGCATTCCTTGGCATGTGTGTGTGCTAGGTCTGGGGGTGTGCCAGACAGGGATAGGCTCCAGAGGCCGTTGACACTTGCAAGAGCCACAGTGGGTATGGGACAGGCTGAGCTAGGTTGAAGAACCCACTGGTCCACATGAGAGCCAAGTCTTGGAGTAGGCCAGGCAGGGCAGGGCTGAAACAATGGTTGACATGCATGTGAGTTGGGTTTGGGGAAGGCCACACTATACCAGGCCACTACATCTGCTGGTACATGCAAGGGCCAGGAGAAGGGCAAACTGACCAGGCTTTGCCATAGCATTTACTAGCAAGCCCAAGAACAGGGTGCAGATAATGTCAGACTGGACCACAGAAAGTACAAGTGGCAGTAAGTGGGCCTAGTGGGAAAACTATGGGCACTCCTCTGCTGAGCTAAAGTTCCCACTGGTGTACACAACAGCCAGGGCTGGAAGCAGGCCAGGCTGGACAAGGCAGTAGCACCCATCAATGACCCATTATGTGGGCTGGGTCATGGGGTCAAGTGGGTCAAGCTAAGCTGCAACATCCATAGGTGTATACAAGACCTTGATTGAGATGTGGCATGAACCAGACCAGTGTGCTGCACATGTAAAGGAACTGCGGCTTGGGGCAGGTCTGGCTTTCCAGCTGATTGGCATAAGGGCCAGGTCTGTGCACGCTGAACTGGCCACAGCACCCATAGGTTTGCATGCAACATGGATCTGGGGACAGAACTGATCAGGCAACCACAATCATCAGTGTGCATAGGCTGATATGGATGATGGAGTGAACTGGACCTTGTACTAACTGGCATATTCAAGAGTCAGGTCTGGATCATCCCAGGTAAGGTTTCTTGAGAGACTCCCCAACTAGACCACTAGACTCAAAACTCCAGCCACAGGGAGAATCTTAGAATTTGTAGTCTGACCTTGGAATGTACATATTATGGGCCCAGCACGATGGCCCAGTGGCTAAATCCTTGCCTTGCATATCTGGGATCCCATATGGGCATCAGTTTGAGTTCTGGACACTCCACTTCCCATCCAGCTCCCTGCTTATGTCCTGGGAAAGCAGTAGAGGATGTGCCAAAGCCTTGGGACCCTGAACCCATGTCATGGGGGACCTGGAAGAACTTCCTGACTCCTGGCTCCTGGCTTCAGAATGGCTCAGCTCAGGATGTTGTGAACACTTGCACAAGTCAATCAGCAGACAGATCTTTCTCTCTGTCTCCCTTGTCTCTATAAATCATCCTTTTAAAAAAAGAAGAATAAGAAGAATTCATGTATTGTGACTAGGCTTCCTTGATTATTGACACCTATGCAGTGGATGGCATGGCAAGGTACATACGGGAAGCATGATGGCCAGCTCATTTGGGCCTGCAGAAGATGTTGAGTTCAATGTATAAAGATGGAGAGCAGAACAGATTTGATAATTCTGGCTAAGTTTTGGCAGAAAGTGTCTGAAAGGGTGGAACACATGGGTGAACTCTGTCAGTCAATGGACTTTGGAAGGATTTTTTTCAATCTTGAAGCAGTGAAACTAATAGCGTCTCAGAACATAACCAAGCAATCATGCAGCTCTAATCATCTTCAGACATCATCCAGCTACTTATTCATTTTGCTTTTTCTATTTCAACTTCTGGAATATAAACTCTAAGGCCAAGGAACTATGCTTTGCTTTGCTTGGCTGATGATCTTTGGTGCCCAGAACAAGGCATAGCACACACCTGGGACTTCACAGACAAAATTAATATTGATGGGGCTGATACTGTGGCACAGAGATTAAGCCTCTGCCTGAAATGCTGGCAACTCCCAGCTGTACAATTCCTAATTTAACTTGTTGCTAATGAATCTGGAAAAGCAGTGGAAGTTGGTCAAGGACATGGATGCCTGCACCCATCTCAGAGACCTGGGAGAAGGTTCTACCTCCTGCCTCCACTGTATTACAATAATGGAATTTCAGCCATTTGGGCTGTGAAACAGTTGATGCAATCTCTCTCTCTCTCTCTCTCTCTCTCTCTCTCTCTCTCTCTCTCTCCATTTCCTTTTTCACTCATCCTCTCCGTAAGTTTGCCTTGCAAATAAGTAAAAGTTTCCTGAAAAAGATTAATATTGAAAAAAATGATTCAGTGAATGAGCTTCCTTTCCCTCACATATAAAATGAAACACTAAATTTCACAAGTTTCCTCCCAAATTCAGTATTCTCAAGGTCTGAATCTAGAATACAGATCAAGACACCAACCTGCCACCTTCAGTTCTAGAATGGCCTCTTCATAGTAATCTCCCTTTTGGAAGAAGCAGGTGTACTTCCCATTGTCTGAAACCTGGATGTTATTGATGTGCACAGCAGCCTGTCCAAGGGAAAGGAAATCTTTCACCAGTGAGGTCCGTCCTGCATATTGGGGCATCTGCCTCTCATTCTGCTCCTGGCCGTTCTGATAGACAAACACTGCTTCTGAGAATCTGGAGCGGAACCACTGCAGCTTCATGTCTTCTGCATTCATGGCTGGATACAAGAAGCAGGGCAGAGTGGCATCACCATCCAACTCGGCCACTATGGGGTCACTGGGGCCAGCTACCAGGAACTCATCTGTGGACACAGACACAGAGAACACTGGGAGACAGCACTCAAGAACAGACACACAGACTCTCAAGAGGGAGGAAAGGGACCCCACGCCGTGGCCTAGCGGCTAAACTCCTCGCCTTGAATGCACCGGGATCCCATATGGGCGCTGGTTCTAGTCCCGGCAGCTCCACTTCCCATCCAGCTCCCTGCTTGTGGCCTGAGAAAGCAGTCGAGGACGGCCCAAAGCTTTGGGACCCTGCACCCGCGTGGGAGACCCGGAAGAAGTTCCTGGATCCTGGTATGGATCGGCATAGCATCGGCTGTTGTGCTCACTTAGGGAGTGAATCATGGGACGGAAGATCTTCCTCTCTATCTCTCCTCCTCTCTGTGTATCTGACTTTCCAATAAATAAACAAATCTTTAAAAAAAAAAAAAAGAGGGAGGAAAGGCAGATTGGGAATAGGTGGGCCCTCAAGGATGAGGACTGAGCAGTTACAACTCCACATTTGGATGGAATCTCATACCACAAGGACAAGACTCAGAAATGATGTCACAGATGTCCCTTCTGAACTGAGCTTCTGGCCCAGGCTGTCCCATGAAAAAAAGCCTCTACCCCAGTGGGTCACAGCACTGAGTACACGCAGGGATTAGAGTACAGCTTATAAAACCCAGATCAAGAGACGGGAGCCTAGGCACCTTCCTTGTATGGTGCCTGGGTGGCATCGGAGAGACATGCAGACTCATGCTTGGGCCAGCAGAACAGAGCAGGCATGGGAACTCCCTCACATGCCTGTGTCCTAGGCAGGTGGAGGAGTGGGAAGGGTGTTAGGGCCCCAGGCTGGCATGCTGGTATGGTGTGCTAGTGGACCAGGCTTGGGGACTCGTTAACATGCTTGAGTCCTGGATGGGTCTAGACCAGTACATGTGCTAGAGGACTTGATCTGAAGTCTACAGTGGGTCCCAGTGTGCAGGCAGAGCATTCAGGCCAGCTCATCATTCTGTCAAAAGACCAGGGAAAACTATGTGCTCACAGGCTCTGCGGCTATAGGTTGATAATGAAAGAGAAGATGGACTGTGAGGGTGCGAGGAGACCGCAGAGGGAGATTGTGGCTGGTGAGAAATAATTTCTGGGGGACCTCTACCAACAAAGCCACTGTACTTGGGGGTGAGCAGAGGGGGGCTGAGACCCAGAGGTTTCAAGGAAAGAAACTGAAGGATCATGCTGGGTTTGACCAATGCACCCATCCACATGGGAGATTAGAGCTGAGCCAATTAGCATCTACCACTGCCCACCAGCACACACAAAAGCTAGTACTGGAAGGCCTACCTGGCAGGGCTGGATCACAGTACCCACCAGTGAGTGTCAGAACAAAGGATAGATCACATTAGGCTGGACCTGACACTATCCAGAATGCAAGAGAACTAGGTCTGGGGGCATATTCTAAGGGGAATATGTGGACTCATCCCTGTGGGACTACAGTATCTGCTGCTTTGCCAAAAGCTGGAAGTGGTGACAAACTAAACTCTGTATAAACATGAAACTCACTGACCCTCATGGATACTTGGGTTTGGAACAGGCCAGGTTGGTTCAGACTACAGCAGCAACACCCACAAACATACACTAAAGCTGAGACTGGGTTGTGGACTCTGCTGGGTAAGGGCCTACCATCCACTGACACGAATGAGATCTGGGTCATGGAGTGAGCCTGGTGGGTGGACATGGGAAACTTCCCTGCTGGAATGTATCTCCCACTAAGAAGCACCTGAGTTATGGGGCTGTCTTGGGGGTGGGACAAGACTGGAGAGGGCTGGGCCAAACAGTAGCACACTCAAATGTGCAGAAATCAGGATGGATATGGGCCATACTGGGCTAGACTATCATACCTACCAGTTTGCATGAAAGTTGGGATGGGGGCAGGATGGGTAGGGCTAGTCTGTAGTATCCACAAGCAAAAGCTGGCACTCAGGGCTGGTGGGCTAGACCAGGCTGCAGCATCCAGAAGCAAGGGCTGAACTAGGGTACAGGCTATGCCAGACTGGGTCAGAGCAAGCACCAGCATGCACAAGATCTGTGGCTGGGAACAGACCTGGTCAGGGAGCTAAGGGGACACCCTAGTTGGTTTGTGTTTCCCACTGGTGAGTGTGAGAGCTGCAATGGGGGCAAGAAACAGTCTGGACATGGCTGAACCATTCCTCAACATGGTTGTGGACTAAGCCTGGGTTGTGCCAGACTGGGCTAAGCTCACACACCTGCAGATTCTTGCAAGTGCAAGGGTGAGTGTAGGACAGGTGGGGCAAGGTCTTGGTAACTGCCTAACCTTGCAAAAGCTGTTTGGGGATGGGCCAGGCAGGACTGGGTTGTAGCAGTCAACACTAAGAGCCATAACAGGTATGAGACTATCAGTCAAGGCCACAATACTTGCCAGGACAGGAGGTAGGCCAAGACAGGCTGGGCAAACAATACATCAAAATGCATGAGATCTGCCACTGGGAGGTGGCTTGATAGAGGAGCTTGGGGAACTCCTTCATCAATTAGTAGTCCCTGCAGGTAAGCATAAGAACCGAGGCTGGGATCAGCCCAGACCAAGCCAGGTTACAGTACCAAACAGCATACCTGTGGGTCAGATCTTGGGGTAGGCGAGGCTGGGCAAGTTTATAGCAACCACTGGGAGACATGAGAATTAAAATGAGGTGCAAGACGGGCTGGTTGGACCACAACACCAGCCAGTTTACTTTAGGGCTGGGACTAAGGACAGTCTAGTGTGGACTGAACTGCAGCACCCTCTAACATAAGATGTAACTAGGAGGGAGGCAGAGCTGAAACAGGATACAGAATCTGCTAGTGAATGCCAAGGTGAGGCAGAGCATGCCAGACTGGACCACAGCAGCCACCACAAGACCCTGGTGGTGGGGGAGCAAGACCAGTAAGGGGACTGCTGGGCTGCTGCTCCCACTGGTGACCGTCAGAGCTGGGATATGGGGTAGACTAGGCTGAGAAGGGCTAGAACAATTATTGGTCTGCATGTGAGCTGGGTTATGGTGAGAGCCAGGTTGGGATGTGATCATATGCACAGGTGCATGCAAGAGCCAGTCAGTACAGGCTGGACCAACTTTGTTGCAGTACCAGCTGGAAAGTGCTGGGATGATGGGTAAGTCCGGTCAGGTTAGAATGCAGAACCACCTGCAAAGTGCAAAATGTGGAGCTGGGAGTGGGCCTAGTAGGAAAATTGTGGGCCCACCTCTCATGTGTTTCAGTTCCCACTAGTGAGCCTGAGAACCAGGGCTGGAAGCAGGCTTGGCAGGACATGTGGTAGCACTCACCAGTGTAAATGAGGGCTGGATAGTGGGATCAGTCAGGCTGAACTAGGCTGCAGCATCCATTAGTATGTATAAGAACCAAATGCAATATGGTCTGACAAGCCCAGTTTGCTGCACATATTGGCATATGCACAAACTGAGACTGGGTGTGACCAGGTGGAGGTTTTGGGGGTCATTTCAACTAGACTGTAGCTTCTGCTGTTATATATGAGAACCAATTATGTGGCAGACAGGGTTAGACCAGGCCACAACATTTGTTGATTTGCATAAGAGAGGAGCCTGGAGACAGAACTGATTGGGCTACTGCAACCACCAGTGTGTGTAGACTGATACGGGTGACAAACTGAACCAAATCCCACATTGGCAAGCACACACAGGAGCCAGCTCTGGAGTCATGGCTGGGAGATTTCTTTGGGTCCCCTCCCTGTTGGACCACTGGACTCAAAACTCCAACCAAGTGGAAAATCACAGGATCTTTGGTCTGACCATGGAGTGCATGTGGCAGTATTGAGTCTCGTAGGTTGCTGAAGCTGGTTCAGTGGACACCATTACCTTATGCACATGGAAAACATGACAAATCATTGAGGCCTGCAGAGAATATCTAATACTATGGAGGACAGAACAAATTCGACAACTATCCTGGCCAAGCCTTGACAACAAATACCTGGCCAAATGGAGACTCTAAGGTAGACTATGTTAGCCAGTGGAACTTGGACGGATTTTCTCAATCTTGGAACAACAAAGTCAGTAATACCACAGAAATATCAAAACCGCGTAAGCAGTATCCTCGGAACATGATGCACATCAGGGACCCTGAGATGACATAGAGTGGCCATACCCTATCCCCAGGTATTGATGTGATGAGGCTAGTTAGAGCAGCCCTCTCCCCTTTTCTATTCCCTTCTTCCAGATACAGGAAGGAAAAAAAAAGGAAATTGGAAACAATTGTCTAGCTACCTTCCCCCATTCCTTGGCCCCTCCCACTCTAATCAGTAGTCCACATGGGCATCCATTCTTTCTCAACTATATAAACATCATCCAAAAAAATCTTAAATTGAGCAAAATATAAATAAAACTTAATAGTGTGTTATATATTACATTTTATTTATTTATTTACACCCAATTTGGAAAAATAAAAAGCAGATCACAGGCTTCAACAGGCTTCAACATAGAATTCCTGATCGAATCATCTGAGGTGGGCACAGAAATTTGTAAAATTTCTAAGGATCTGCAACCTACAATTAGAATGGGAGAGGGCTGTTTGGTTATAGCCGTAGCATCAGCTGGCAGAAACTGGGACTGAGGGCTAATCCTGTCAAGTTAAACTGCAGAACCACCTGGAAAGTGCACAATCCGGGAGTGAGAGACCTGGGAGGGAAATAGTGGGTTCCCCCCTCTTGGGTTACCACTGCCACGGGAAGGCACGAGAACTAGGACAGGGGCTGGGGTAGCTAGACAGAGAGGCACCCAACCACACCCGTGAAGGCTGGTCTGTTGAGCTGGGTAGATGGATCCAAGCTTCAATGCCATTTGCCATGTACGACAACCAGGGGGATGTGGGTCAGATTGGACTGGTCTGCCACACATATTGGCAAACCAGGGTAGGGGGTTGGCCTGGTGGGGGTTATTGTGGGCCGCTCTCAGCAGGATGCAGCTCCCACTGGTTTAGGTGAAGACCAAGTATGTGCTGTGCAGAACCAGGCTGGACTGCAACACCCATTGGTTCCAGTAGAAGGCGGGGCTGAAAACAGAAGCAACCTAGCACTTGCAACTACCAGCTGACCGGGTGATGGACTGTGCTGGGCCCTGTGCTTGCTGGTGCATACGAGTATCTGGCCTGGGAACACCTCAGACGAAGTTTCTTTGGTGATCTGCCCAATTGAAATGCCAGACTCAGAACACAAACCATGAAGGGACAGAAGATGGAACAAGTTAATCAACCACCTCAGCAACAAAATACCGGGCAAATAGAGACGCTATGATGGACAATGTCAATTAATGGATTTTTCAACAACCTCATCGTGTTTGGAGAGGCAAGATTAGCAGCAATTCCAAAACTGGTGACCTATTGAAACCACTTCAATGAGTATCTCGGAGCATGCCCCACATGCGGGACTTGGGGTGGGTGGGAAATCAGGTGGGGCTTCTCCCTCAATATCCCCCTCTACCTCAGATATATGAAGGAAACAGTATGGAAATAATAGTCTTATCCACTTGCCTGTAGCCCTTGACCCTTTTTACCCAAATTAACCATGTAAAGATTGTTAAAATAAAAAATATTAAAAAGAAAAAAATTTCTAAGGATCCCCCTGGGAGCTGATACTGTTAATCCAGGAGCCACATTTGGCAATCCACAGCTCTATCTAGCCTGTATGAGGTAAGCCTAAACACTGACCACAGAGTGTACCAGGATCTCCTTGGAATTTCTGGATCCTTCGGTCACAAACAGGGGATGGCCCAACTCCCCCACGCCACAGCTGAGTTTATCATTTCTGTCTATATTTTTCTGCTCACTAAATTCAAGGAGCACCTAAAACAGCCTCCAATACCCTTTTTGTTGCAAACCAGTCATTGGTCATAGGAGTATAAATCAAAATGATTAAAGAAGTGCAGCCCACATTCTCTGTGTCCTCATACTTGGCTCCCTGAGTCTGGTAACTGGGTCATAGGAGGACCCTTCTGCAGCACAAGATGCCATGGGCCCAGAACAACTCCTCAGCTTCATGCGCTTCCACCCTGGCCTGGCAAACATGTCTCACCAAAAGATACCCACAGATCAGGTGCATTGCTCACTCTCCACTCCAGTTGGTGGTCCATTCAACACATGAGCAAACCCACACTCCTAATGACCACAGAGCCCTCACCTAGCCCCGCAGATCCTCACCCAGTGTCCCAAAGGTCCAACAGCTGTACCACTACTACTCTAACCACAGCTCTGCTTCTTTCACTCAGATCCACTGGCCACTACTATTCCTCACATACGAGAAAACTGCAGTTGTGTATAGGGTGCTCCTGAGGAACTATGTTTCCTGGACATGCTCACAGCTCACCCCCTCGCTGTCTACCCCCACTCACTGTTCCCCTCTCACTGTCTACACTGTCCACCACTCTCAACTCAGCTGCTACCCACACCCTCCTGTCTCTGTCCTGCCTCATATCCTATCACTCATCTCCCTTCACAGACACAATCCTGAGAACTGATCACTGTCCCTGTTAGAAGGAAAACCCCACAAGGAAAGGGAATTCCTTATGAAGGGGTAGGGAAGGAACAGTGATTGCTGAGCACAGGAGGAAAAGCAGAAATTAAGAAAATGTGGTTTTCAAATGTTACATACCTCACTTTTAAACCCCCTACAAATAATTGGTTATTTGTCAATATCCCTGAAACCCCCTGATAGTCAGTAACTCATCTTCAATGTGTAACTACAATTAGAATTGGGGAAAGGCATCCTATTTTCACAACTGGTCCCCCACAGCTCACTCCATCCTGGCAGAGAGCACCAGGGGCTCCTCCCGCCCCAGGGAGACCAAGAGAAGAGACGGGGATACACTCACCTGCAAAGCCGAACATGGGCAGTTGCACAAGGAGACGCAGGAAGTGGAGACTGCAGAGCAGAGACAGGCAGCAGCTGTGCTCCATGTCCTCAGACCACGGAAACAGGTGGGGAGGAGACAGCTGGGTCAGCGGACAGGAGCAGGAGGGAGTCCAGTACAGAGGTCCAGCTCCTAGGTGGTGAGACCAGGACCAGAGTCAGCCCTTACAAACATCAGCATCTTCTCACCAGCCACATAGGGCCCGCAGGACCCTGACAGCAGGAGAATATCAAAGACAGTTCCCATTCTTATAGAGCCTGTGTACCTAACACAGGTACCCTACAGCCTGTCTGGCTTATGGGCTGTGATGTCACCCAACCAAGCATCTTTCTCCACTGGCTAAGGACATGCCCCATATTAAGCAGGAGCTCAGACAATTCACACTGACAGGTAAATCTTCATGTTCTACGTGGGGAGATCTCTGCACGAGCATCTAAGGACCCTGGATGAGGCCACAGAGATAAAAACATGAGCCTTTGTCAGAACAAGATCCCACCCACTGTTTATAGGAGAAAGGGTATGAGGGCTGCCTTGGTTCTGAAAGGACAGGCTCAAGGGAACCTGGGGTGGACTTCCTGCAGCTAAACCATTCTCAGTGTCACCACTTCAGCCATGGTTCATGGCATTCCAGGAGTCAGTTCCCATATCTGCTAAAGAGGAGGTAGCAGGGTCTCCCACAATGCAGTGAGAGTTACGTGACTTTGTATTAGGACAGCTACAATCATGCAATTAGAACCTGAGTCAGTGCTGTGGATATAGTTGGTCTAGCTGCCCCCTGCAGCACCAGCATCCCTCCCATATGGATGCCAGTTCGAATCCCACATGCTCCACTTTAAATCCAACTCCCTAATAGTGTGACTGAAAAAGAAGCAGAGCTTGGCCCAAGTGCTTGAATTCCTGAAACCCATGCAGGAAACCGGGAGAAAACTACGGGCTTCTGGTTTCAGTCTGTCCCAACCCCAGCCATAGCAGGGAAAAAACAGCAGATATATGATGTCTTACTTTCTCTATAACTATGCCTTTTTAAAATTTATTTATTTTATTGTAAAGAAAGATATATAGAAAGCAGGAGAAACAGAAAGGAATATCTTTCATTCGTTGACTCACTCCCCAAGCAACCGCAACAGCTGGTGTTGCACTGATCTGAAGTCAGGAGCCAGGAGCCTCTTTCCGGGTCTCCCACAAGGGAGCAGGATCCCAAGGCTTTGGGCCATCCTCAACTGCTTTCTCAGGCCACAACCATTGAGCTGGATGGGAAGCAGGGCTGCCAGGACTAGAATTGCGCCCATATGGGATCCCAACATGCAAGGTGAAGACTTCAGCCGTTAGGCTACTGCACCAGACTCTATAACTACATTGTTAAAGTAAATAAATAAAACTTGGATGGAAACAAGGAAGGAAGGAAGGAAGGAAGGAAGGGAGGGAGGGAGGGAGGGAAAGAGGGAGGGAGGAAGGAAGGATCCTACTGCCAATACTTATTTTAGAAGTATAAAAGATGAATAAGAACACGCTGCACACTAAGGTTGTCTTGAGTCTTCCCAGCCAGCTGCTCCCTGCTTTCTTCCTTCTCCCCGACACATATTCTCAAGCCAGCTTACCTGCTCCTGTTTGTCCCAGCACGAATGGCTATTACTTCCTGCAGGATCCCTAGCAGCTGACAAATCCACCCTCCAAGGTGACATCTGCCTTGAGCTGCCCTCAGAACACTAGGTCCTCCTCCAGGTCCACTGCAGGGTCCAGGATCCAACTCCCAGGAGACAGTGGGCTCCCAAGAGACCAGAGAAGCAGAATGGGTAGGGCTGCAGCAGCCTCTGCAGATCCTGGGCCCTGAGCTCACCACAACCTCCCAGCCACCAGCACCACTATCTAAAGTGAAAACTGCCGCAGCAGCCTGGGAAGGGAGTGCCTGCCCTGTGGACTTTGTTCCCTGTTCTCAGTATGAGCAATGGCATGAATAGTGTCACATCTGCCCTGGGAGTAGGGGTATCACAGGCTGCCACAGCTCCAGCTGCCCCTCAGCCCCTCCTCTCAGTTACCACCTCCATTGTACACCAGGGAAACATCTGAAGACCCTAAGATGTTGGAGACTTTTAAAGAGAAGGATAAGAAGGAGTAGGCATAGGAGGAGGAGGAGAAACTAATTTTTATTTAGTGTTTATTAACTGTCAGTATCTAAACTACACACATTAGATTCATGCCACCTTCTTATCACACCTGTAAGCGGAAGGTAGAGCTGCAGGAAGACTGCAACCTCCAGTTTCCCCAGATCTCCCTCCAAGCCCAGTCCAGCCGCAATTCTAAACAAAGTGAAAAAGAGCTGCCAGAGGGACACAGACTCTCAGGGCCTCCATTTGATGTATTGCCTGAAAGCTTCTCTCACTCTGCAGCCCCACCTTTTGCCCTGCTTATCAGGAAGTGCCCAGCCCAGGTCAGAGTTTCTGTAAGACACACCCACAGAGCCCTGTAATCTGGGGCAGAAGGGCAGCAAGCAGCCATCCTCCCTCCCAGCACCCCGGGATCCCAGCCCAGCAGCTGTAACATGAGTTTGTTTTCTGAGCCACCAACGATTTCTTGCTGAAACTATAATAAATCTAGGATTAATACCTTACTTTCTGTTAAATCTTCTTAGGCTTCCTATCATTTAGCTGCTTCAAAGTCTTTTCAAAACAACTTCAGATATACAACTAAGACAAAAAATGCTTAATGCAAATTATATGAAACCTATCAGGATTTTAAAATGTGATCAATAATGAAAATATTAACTCTTTTTATCAATATAGATTGATTTGTTTGCTTCTGCATACGGCAGAGTTACAGAGAGAGATATTCCAACTGCTGCTTTACTCTCCAGCCTTGAGGAAGCCAAGAACCAGGACTCTGTCCTAGTCTCTGCAGCAGAGACTCAAGTCTTTGGACCACCTTTACTGCCTCCCAGATGCATGCACAGGAAACTGAATCTGAACGGAGATCTGGAGCTCTAGCTTACACCAGGGGATGCAGCGGCCCCAGGCACTAGACAACAACACCTGCCCAACAGCTTTTCTAAAAAGTACAGTCTTGCAAAGATTGATTCCTTTTACATTGTTAAGATGAATATTTCATTGGGATATCTTCTATTGCAGAAAATATCTAGAAATGTTTTATAATCATAGATATTATTTCCCTATCGGTCAGATAGTGTACAAAGATTTTCTCCCATTCTGTTGGTTGCTTCTTCACTTTTTTGATCATTTCTTTTGCTGTGATGAAGCTTCTTAGTTTGAGGTAGTCCCATTTGTTTGTTTTGGCATTGACTGCCTGTGCTTTTTGGTGACTTTTCTAAAATGTGTTTGCCTACTCCTACATCTTTTAGAGTGTTCCCTGTGTTTTTATCTAACAGTTTGATGATTTCTGGGTACATGTTAGTCCTTGATCCTATTAGAGCTGATGTTTATAAGGTGAAATGTGGGGTGTTATTTCTTATTTCTAAAAGTAGATATACAGATGTTCCAAAAGCATTTGTTGAAGAGACCAAAAATTTTTCCCTATGTTTGTGTTCAGTTCTTTGGTTGAAGATTGATTGGTCATACATGTGTGGGCTCACTTCTTGTGTTTTATTCTGTTCCTTTGATTTTTTTTTTTTTTTTGGCTCTGGTTTTCTACCAGCTCCAGACTGTTTGGATAACCACTGCCCTGCCTTATGTCTTGAGATCTGGAATTGTGATTCTTCTCACTTTATTTTTATTTTTCAAGATAACTTGGTTATTTGTGTCCTTTTGTGTTTCCAGGTGAATTTTTATATCATTTTTTCTATCTCTGAGAAGAATGCTGTTGGCATTTTGATTGGGATTGCATTGAATTTATACATTACTTGGAGTAATGTGAACATCATAATGATGCTGATTCTACAATTCCAGCAACATGGTAAATGTCTCCATCTTTTAAAGTCTTATTTTTTCTTTAATATTTTGTGATTTTCATCATAGAAGACATTGACATATTTGTTTAGGTTAATTCCAAGATATTTAAGATTCTCCTCCACTATTTCCAAAGGAATTATTCAAACCAGTACTTTCTCAGCCATGGAGCTAAATGTACATACTAAGGAAATTGATTTATATTCATTGATTTTGCACTTTGCCATCATGCCAAACTCTTATGAGTTCCAATAGTCTCTTTGTGGAATCTTTTGATTCATATGTACATATATACAAGTCGATAATCTGACTTCCTCATTCCAATTTGAATTCCTTTCATTTCTTTTTCTCATTTTTAAGATTTATTTATTTTTATTGGAAAGGCAGATTTACAGAGAGACAGAGAGATTTTCCATCTGCTGGTCCATTCCACAAATGGCCAAATTGGTAGAATTCAGAAGTACAGCCAGTGGGTCTCAGGACAGGGCATCTCATGCCTGGATCCCAGACGACAGCCACCACATGCACATGGTGAGCGTGCCATTTGGCGCTGTGCTGTGCCTGCTGGCCACCCGGCCTGGACCTCTGGGGTTTTGGTTCTTTGAATCGCTGCTTAGGTAGCTCCAGGTTGAACCCACTACGCTTTTAGGGTGTGAATCAATCCTAAAGACAGTAACTCTTTCTTTATGGAACCTGTAATCGCTGAACAATGATGACCACCAAATACTAGTCCATACAAAAGCTATGGCTCTGGGCTCGTCCATCAGAATTATATCCTATTACTTGACATGATGATGGATCAGGAGAAGGGTCACATTAAGCACGGCCATTACATTAACTAGCACTCGAAAACCATATCTGAGGGTAGATTCTGTGGGGGATGTGTGGGCCAAACCCTGTGGCAATTCTAGCCCCACTGGTTAGCTCAAGAGTTGGGGTGATAATGGACTAAGCTAGGTGTGACCAAGGAGCCTGCCATCAATCACAGGTAAAGGAACCTGCAACAGTCTGGACTGGTCAAGGCAGCAACACCCAAATGTGCATCAAGAATAGGGTGTGGGGTGAGCCGGACTGCAACGTTCACCAGCTCATACAAGGCCAAATGGAAGGCCAGACTTTGCCGGGCACTGCCTAAACTCAATGGCATGTATGAGAACTGGGTCTGGGAGTGGATTAAGTGGAGGAACTTGAGAAACTCCCTTGGCAAGTCATAGCTCCTGTTGGTGAACATGTGGTCCAGACCTGGGGGTCGGACGAGCTGGGCAAAGTAGCTCCAACTAATGTGTCAACTGCTAATGGAACAGAGTAGACTGGGCAGGACTGAGCAAACCTTCATTCAAAAAAATATTCATTTTCTGAATGGCAGAATTGCAGAGAGAATGAGAGAAGGAGAGAGAGAAAAAGAGATAGACAGACAGAGAACTTCCATTCACTGGTCCACTCCCCAAACAACTGCAACAATCAGAGCTGGGCCAGTCCAAAGCCATGAGCCAGAAGCTTCCTCTAGGTCTCTCACATGGGTGCAGAGACCCTAGCAGCTATGCCATCTTGCACTGCATTCCCAGGCTGTAAGCACACAGCTTGATCAAAAGTGGAGTAACTGAGACTCAAACTAGCACCCATGTTGGGCACCGGGTCCACAGGCAACAGCTTTACCAGCCACATTCTATCACCGGTCATCACATATGCTTCATAAATAACAGAAAATATGGATTAATTTTGATAAGGTCATAATTGATTCCCACACAAAGACAGAAATTAGAATTGATTTTATTAATCAGTGTCTAGCTGATGATATAGAACTACCTCAGAGCACATTTGGTAGAATAGGATATTCATTCATCAGAAAGGGCAGCTGAATATAAATATACTGAGTAACAGGAGAAATGTGGTTAACATCTTATGGGCCAATAAAACTTTAGGCTTTGGAATACTCCAAACACCTTGCACATTTGGTCAAGGTAATTTCCAGAATAAATTCATTGCAAAATATAATTTACAAGCATCTGACAAAGTTCTACACTGATGATGCTTTGTTTAATCAAATTTTCAGGAGGCAGCTGTGTACTAAGCTGAAGAGATATATCCTGCTTTATGGTAAATAACATCACATCATCTGAGTGCCTCCCCTTTCTATTAATTTAAGAATGCACATACAGAATCCATAAGTAATGTAATTTCATAAAGATACAGACAAAACAGGATGGGGAATAATATGACAGCTAATACATAAATATGGAGATAGTACTTAAAGTTCAAGCAAGGACCCTGAAAAGTTTTGCATAGCATCATTCTTGGGTTGAGACTTTGTAGTAAATGTGTTAGGTCCCCAGTTGTCCTTTCCCACAATGTGGGCAGTTCAGTTCCCTCTCTTGGCTATATTATAGCTTAGAGTGCTACGTCAGTCCGAGTCTAGACTAGTCTAGACAGAAAACATTTCAGTCACTTCAGCAAAGGAAATTCAACCAAAAAACCTATTAACCAAAAAAATGTCCAAGTTACCAAAAGAGGAAAAGTAAGCTCTAAAGAATACAGAATTGTATTTCATGTATCAGATTAAGCCACTACTTGTGTCAACACCAACCTTTACAGAAGATCTGGTTCAATGACCAGCTACTCTGTTATGATCCAGGTTCCTGTAGGTTGTGGCTGAATTCCACACTTTGACAGGCATCAGTCTGAGTGGGAACTACTAAGAAGTGAGAGAGAAAACTAAAGATCCTCAAGGAATGTGAAAAATGTTCTCAACCTCACTGGGATACCAGCCTGAGCAAGAAAATACGGCTGGGGAAAATGAACCTGATAACATGATACGATATATAGAACTTCATCAATCAGGAAAACAAGGCCTGATGCTGGGGCTGACACAAGTGGCCACTGCTCAGTGACGATATGTCCAAGACCAGATCTGACAATGTGACATAGGCAAGCAGACCTCCTGAAAAGACCTAAGATAAAGTACTTTTCTTTAATTATACAAAAATTTATATGACGTTGTATATATATAAACCCCAAGAAAATGTTCGCCTCCTGAGTAGTTGGAGTGTCTAACATTTACTCTTCCAGTAACACTATGATAAAATTGCCTTCTTATTGCTCATCATTCTCATTCTTCATCATCAATAGAACAAATCCCATGGATTCCCATCTCAGCTGAATCACTTCCACAGTGTGGATTAGCAGGAAGCTAGAATCACAAGCAGAGCCAGGACCCAGTGTCCTCTCCTGATCAGAGCTCTTCATGTCATGAAGCAATCACATCTCCATGCTTAAAAAAATCAGAGTCCTGGGCCTAGCGCCGTGGCCTAGCAGCTAAAGTCCTCACCTTGAATGTTCCGGGATCCCATATGGGCACCAGTTCTAATCCTGGCAGCTCCACTTCCCATCCAGCTCCCTGCTGGTGGCCTGGGAAAGCAGTTGAAGATAGCCCAAAGCCTTGGGACCCTGCACCCATGCAGGAGACCCGGAAGAGGTTCCTGGTTCCCGGCTTCGGATTGGCACAGTACTGGCCGTTGCGGTCACTTGGGGAGTGAATCACTGGATGGAAGATCTTCCTCCCTGTCTCTCCTCCTCTCTGTATATCTGACTTTGTAATAAAAATGAATAAATCTTTTTAAAAAAATCAGAGTCCTTCACACTCCTGCTGCTTTGGGTTGGCTATGGTGTTCCTGTCATTGTAACCGTGGGATTTGGAAGTACTAGGAGGTGATGCATTTGACCATCATTATGATCAAACTTTCAGCACTTGAACTTGCAATTGAAAACTCTCTCCCTTTTCATCTGAGCACTATTTACTGCCTATTCTGATAACAGTTCTCTTCTTCACTAAGTTACCGTGTTGACACAAAGGGGGGATCCAAACCCTCATCCTCAGATTCCCTGAATTAACACACCACAGTGTGTTCATGGGTCATAGGAATATACTGAGGAGTGGAAAAGCAGCCATGTTTCTTCCATTTCAGAAAGGGAGGTACACAAAGCAGACCATTAGATTCCTTTACATTACAACCCATCAGTCATTCATTTTGATAGCAATATTTGGATGGCAAATTTTTTCATCCAGTGAGGCAAATGCTCCCAGAATAGAGGTGGGAACCATGTCATTCTCTTAGTCCTTCTGCTCAGAGACAACCTGGTTATATAAACTCCTTTTTGGGCAAAGTATCTCATATTTTAGCCACCTTCATATCCAAAGAAAATTTTAAATCCATGAAATAATTTTAATACCAAAAACAATGATTTAACATTGTAATACGGACTTTCATAAGCCAGTTCAAAACACAGTCAATGCTAATCTTCCTCTCTCTGGACACGAGTCATGACTGACCAGTCCTCATAGCCATAGGAGGACAAAGTCCCAGGGCCATCAGAAACTTATCTGAGGGCTTTTGGTCACAGGAGTCTGCAGCCCCAGGAGGGTCAAGCTGAAGAGCCAGGACAAAAATGTGCCCTATGAGGGGTAGGAAAGTAATGGAGACTCAGCCCCTGGGAGAGCACCCTCAGCACCAGAGCCTGAGCTCAGCCCCTCCCCTTGGGACCTCCCAGACTGCTCTAAAGAAGGAGAATTGCTCAGGGCCGCAGGGAGTCCCTCAGACCCACCCACTGGGGAGCAGATGCTCAGGGTCACATCTTGTGACTTAAACATGAAGTATGGGCAGAGGGGTCCAGAGAACAAAGCTGGGGGGAAGGAGAACATGTGGGACCCGTCTGTCATGTTATAGAAGGACACATCACCCTCGCTGTAGTCCAGGAAGATCCCAACACTGCGGGGATACTGCCTAAGGAATAGAGGACTTGATTTGTCAGGACAAGCATAATATTCATGGTAAGCACACTCCAAAACCCAAAATCCCTTCTCTGGTGATTCTCTGATTAAGACTGACCTTTCCACATGCTTCTGACAGACCCCCAGAGCCCACTGACTTCTCCTGTCATCCTTGATCTCCACCTCCCAGTAACATCTTCCTGATGTGATATCCTCAAGGCCCAACGCACTGGAATGATCCCAAAAGCCCAAATTTTTGTCCTTCCAGGTCACAGTGGTGCTTTCAGGAGAAATGGCAAGGTCAGCATCGGCAGAGGCTGGATCCAGAGTGACAGACCCTGCAGAGAGAATTCTCAATCAGTCCTGTCCCCCCCTTACCCCATAAACAGGACACAAAACCAACCGAATAGCATCCAGTTGCATGGGGAAAAGGCAAAGCCCCTGAATTAAGACCCCAGGGAGTCAAGCCCATGTCATTCAGGCAGGGGGAACCACAATGCTTTGAGAATCAGATGCGTCCCAGAAACCTGAGGGGCAGGTCGTTCTTCCACATACTCCCCATCCCCCCAAAGCTGATGGTGCCAGCATCTACATCAACACAGAGAACTGAAGGAGAAGCCAGGGCCATGGGTACCACATGATGAACACCCAGGAAAAACATGAAGGAACTCACAGGCCTGGAACTCTTCTTTCCGCCAATCTATAAGAAAATAGAGGTTGGTGTCATGGTTTGCATGTCCGGTCAGCACCTGCTCCTTTCAGACAGTGATGTGCAGAATGAAGGAGAATTGTGCTGGGAGACATTCGGTTCATGAGAAGCTTCTTACACACATGTGTGCGTGCACACACACACACACACACACACATACACACACACACAGGGGGAGAGAGAGAAAGCTTGCAGCAGCCTTCCTGCAAAGACCAAACATAAAACTAACATTCAGGATTGAGAAACTGGACTCTGACCTCAACAGAAAAGCCATTATAAAAATTTCATTAACAGGTGCTAACCAATTTCCTAGCCATAAAATCATCCTGAAAGCTAGATTTCCCTTGAATAAATTGGGGGTTTCAAAATTCCAAGTCCTCTATTCACTTGCAGAACACTAAGCTAAACTTCTAGGTTGCTTCTACAGTTCTATTTCACTTATTGCAGTTGGTACACCGCTATTTTTTTTGCATTTATGCCACTCCTTCCAGCGGGTTCCAGGTCTGTGTTCTTATGATAGATTTCCACCATGGTCTCTGTAGCCCCAGTTCCTGGCTCACCAGTTTCCACCTTCTGTGATAACATGTTGAGGCTGCACCATTACTATACAAACTTTCTCCCACTTCCAGTTGGAGCAGGCCCCATGATTAAAGAGACACCAGGTGTCCTACATAGCTGGGTTGTTGATAGTGTTGATCTTGCTGGAACCTATTGGCCATTAGTTCTGAGGGCCACTTGGACCTATTTTGACCCATACAATGCCAAAGTCGGTATTATGTTCCTGTCTGACCAGTACAATGCACTGTGCTCAGGCAGTTCTTGCCAAGCTCAGCACATGTACAGCTCACTGTTGTCCTCCGCAATCTTAAATTCTTTGCCATCCATATGAAATGACACCTGATGTGCCACTAGTAGAATTCTTGATCTGTTTGCTGTCATGTCTGAAGGCTACCCACCTGTCTTGTGTGGAACCTGTAGGATGTCGTGTTGTTGCAGTCCACTGAACCAGAAATGAGTTCACTCCCAGCTCAACGCATGTATAGTACTGTTCCATATCCCTTGCCTCCTTAAACAAAGTGGCATACAATATGGTTCTATGGGGGCAGACTGGGCTGTGAAATCCAACCTGTTCTAACACTGCCTGACTGAGACCTGGCGCTCTGTCTCTGCTCTTGGTCAAATCAAACAGAGCAGCAGGACAAACAGTTCTTTGTCTGGGTTCACCTCCTGAGCTCCAGGTGAACATCCCTTCCCACCTTGTTGCTGGTGGAATTCTGGCTGCTGGTGGAGTTCAGATCACCACTTGCTGAATGCTGCTGGGGTATTGGTCACTGCAACACCACACCTTTGTGTCCGCTGCTTTCCTGTGTCTGTCAGTCTCCAGGTACCCCTGTGCTGTTGTTCCGTCCTCTCCTATTTCCTGAAATGTGCCCTCTCTGCTTCATGCTGGCTTATATTTCTCCATCTGTTTCTGAGCAGGCATTTTCCAATAGAACAATTTCTGGCCAAATGTGGTAGCCTAGTGGATAAAGTCCTTGTCTTGAACATGCCAGGATCCCATATGAAGGTAGTTCATGCCCCAACAGACCCACTTTCCATCCAGCTCCCTGCTTATGGCCTGAGACAGGAGTCAAGAATGGCCCAATTACTTGGAAATCTGCACCCATGTGGGAGATCCTAAAAAGTCTAAGAGCTCCTGGCTTTGGATCAGCTCAGCTAATGTGGCTACTTGGGGAGTGAACCAGCAGTCGAAAGATTTCCTTTTCTATCTCTCCTCTTCTCAGTACAGCTGACTTTCCACTAAAAATTGACAAATGTTAAAAAAAATTTCAAATAGTTCATATTTCGTGCAATGCTCAGGCTCCCTAGCTATCAGGAAAATACAAATAAAAACTACCTTGAGATGTCACCTAACCCCAGTGAGAATGGCCTACATTCAGAAATCTATGCACAATACCTGCTGGTGCTGCCTCTGTGAACGTGGGGAGAAAGGTCTCCTACTTCACTGTTGATGGGAATGTAGGCTGGTACAGTCACTGTGGAACTCAGTATGGAGAGTGCTAAGAGAACTGAAAATTGATTTATGATATGACCCGGCTATCCCACTTCAGGGAATATATCCAAAGGAAATGAAATCTGCATATGAGAAGGGGATCTGTAATCCTATATTTACAGCAGCACAATCTACAATAGCAAAGCAAGGAAACAACCCAGATGCCCATCAAAAAAGGAGTGGATAAAGAACCTGATACATCTACTCTGGGAAATACTATTCAGCCATTAAAAAGAATGAAATTCTATCATTTGCAACAAAATGTTCCCAACTAGAGTTCAGTGAAATGAGCCAATCCCAAAAGCAGAAACACCATATTTTTTCTCTGATATGTCACAACCTTTATGCAATATAAAGATCAATACATATGTAGATGAGCAAGCATACACATGTATTTTTCTAGAAGAACTGTATACTGAGAAGTGAATGAACAATGCAGTATACCTCTCTACTCCTCCATCAAAGATGAACTCTCAATGAAATTGTTAAATATATCTTGACAGTAGGATACTGTACTCTCTACCATTGGCTATACCTACAATGTCATGATACACTTTGTACAGCAGAATGCTGGACTTGTGACTTGCTGCAGGAGTATACCATTGTAATAATATAGGAAAAAAAATGGGGGAAGGGTGAATAGGGAGGATGGAAGGGGAAATCCTTCAGCCTAGCATGAAAAAAATGAAAATTTTAAAAAGCAAGAAAACAAAACAAACTATTCCATTTTTAAAATCAAGACATTTGTTCTCAAATAAAATTAATTTGTATGCCCTGTCACATATAATAATAAGGAAGAAAAAGAGGAACAAAAGGGGAAAGAGAAGGAAAAGGAGGGAAAAATAGAACCAGAGCCAGACTGTGAAAGTAAAACTGTCTAGTACTGCTTAATAAACATCAGTGTACAGGTGCTGGCACAGTGGCTTAGCAGACAATCCTCCACCTGCACCGTGATCATCCCAGAGGGGTGCAAACTTGAATCCCTACAGGCTCACTTCCCATCCAGCTTCCTGCTTACATCCTCAGAAGGCAGCAGAGAGTGACTGAAGTTTCAAGGTGCTGCATCCATGACAGAGACCCCAAAGAAGCTCCTAGCTCCTGGCGTCTGACAGACTCAGCTCCAGCTGTTACACCCATGAGGGGAATAAACCAGCAGACAGAAGATATCTCTCTTCCCTTCTCAGTGTGTGTGTGTGTGTGTGTGTGTGTGTGTCCTTCCCCTTCTGTAACTCTGCTTTCAAATAAAAAACACTAAAACAAAAATTTTTAAACATCAATTTGCTTCATTTTCACAAGACAAGTGTAAGTTAGGAATTGTTTCAATATCAAAAGTAGAGATCACACATTTGTCCAGAGATGAACTCACCACAGGAAAATCTTGATTTTAATGTAATGATGCTCTCTGTTCTTGCAATGGGTAAAAGACCCTGATAGGGTTATTAAAATACAAAAGATAAACTCTGCAGATGACAGAAAAGATAGATAGATAGATAGATAGATAGATAGATAGATAGATAGATAGATAGATAGATAGATAGATAGATAGGAGATAGATAGATAAGAGCATCATCAGCCTTTATAAATAATACAGGTCCTAGAGAATGAGACTCTGCAATGTGGGCTTCCCATTCACCTGGTGTCCAGGCCTCCTGCCCCTCAGAGGAGCCATGACTCTCAGTTGTTCAGTCTTTGTTCCCAACCATGAACACAGACACCAGAGCAGGGAAGGGCCTCTCACACAGGTCCAGGGAGGACAGATCCTACATCAGCACCTGGTGCAGGGTCTTCTGGACGAACATCCACTGAACAGCGTCCTCCTGCCCACATTCCTTCCCTGACTGCTCCTAAAAGATTGACATGGTCTTACTATCAAGAAAAATGTAGTTGTGTGTTTATTTCTTTTTTTAAGATTTTTTTTATGGCAAAAGCAGATATACAGAGAGGAGAGACAGAGAGGAAGATCTTCCAACACATGATTCACTCCCCAAGTGATTGCAATGGCCCTGTCCAAAGCCAGGAGTCAGGAACTTCCTCCAGGTCTCCCACGCAGGTGAAGGGTCCCAAAGCTTTGGGCCATCCTCCACTGCATTCCCAGGCCACAAGAGGAAACTGGATGAGAAGCAGGGACACCCACCAGGATTAGAACTGGCGACCATATGGGATCCTGGCACATTCAATAGTATAGAGGACTTTAACCACTACACTATTGTGCCGGGCCCCAAACTGTCTTTTTAAGATCAGATTTAGAAGCTGCATTTATTCCAGTCATTGAGATACCCACATCCACCTCCTGGTGCCTGGTTCAATCCCGATTGACTCTGACTTCCTTCTGTTGAAGATCCTGGGAGGCAGCAATGATGGTTCAAGTAATTGGATGAGTTGAACCTGGAATGAGTTCCAATCCGGGCTCTTTCCTCAGCACACAATCAAAGAGACTGAAGAAATCAAACAGGGCATAAAGCACTTGCTTATACTCCCTCAGTTCCAACAAAATTTACTTTTATTTTAATTTCAGGCTTTTACCTAAATGTGTCAAGGAGATGTCTTGGAGACAATCATATTCCCTACCTACTCCCTAAGACCTCTGTAACCTTCCTAGATTGCAAAACCATGCTGTGACCCTCAGCCCACATTGGTCCCTCTGAACCACCCAGAACCTCTGACAGCATCACTGCCAGGTGCTTCTTTGCTGCCTAACTCATCTCCTCCTCACTTCCCCATAGAACATACTACACCACCGTTTATTTCAGTAGGGTTTTTTTTTTTTTTTTACTTCTCTTTTTTGGTAAGTAATTTCCATCTCGTAGATTTCTGTTTTTCTAGTCTTCATGTATAACCCCTAAACAAAACTGAACAAGTCATGAATCTTTACACAAACAGAATTCTCCTAAAGCATGACAAAGTGATGTGAAAATCCTGCATTAAAATTTTGTTTCTATTTTTTGGGCCCAACACCATGGCCTAGCAGCTCAAGTCCTCACCTTGAACAAACTGGTATCCCATATGGGCACAAGTTCTAATCACGGCAGTCTCAACTCCCATCCAGCTCCCTGCTTGTGGCCTGGGAAAGTAGTTGAGGACAGCCCAAAGCTTTGGGACCCTGCATCCACATGGGAGACTTGGAAGAGCTCCTGGCTCCTGGCTTCGGATTGGCACAGCACCAGCCATTGCAGTCATTTGGGGAGTAAATCATGGGATGCAAGATATTTCTGTCTGTCTCTTCTCCTCTCCATATATATCTGACTTTGCAATATAAATAAACAACTCTTTTTAAAATATTTGTTCTTGATTTTTTTTAAAGCACCTACTTGTGGACAGGCGTTTAGCCTTACAGCTCACAATAAAGTCACTGGTAACAGGCCACATTTCAAATCTGAGTGCTTCAGTTTGATGACAAGATCCAACTCCACCTCCCACTTACGTCTTTTTATCAGTGAACGCCATGGGAGGCAACAAGTGACAGATCAGGTAATTGGATCCCTGACAGCTGTACTGGAGACCAAGAATGAGTTGCACACTCATAGATTTGATCCCAGAACATCCCTGAAACTACCCTGGCCACTGCAGACATTCAAGCAATGGAACAATAAATAAGAGTGTGTGTCCCTTCTCACTTTCTCTTCCTCCCAAACAAGTATTATTTTCTTTAACAGGGGCCAGTACTCAGCCTAATGGTTAAGACACTCACTGCCACTGAAATGTTTGGTTCAATTCCCAACTCCAACAACTGACTCCTGCTTCTATTGACTAAAGACACTCTTGAGAGGCAGCACTGAGCAGGGGAGATGCTGACATCACATGGGAGACCTGAAGGAGTGCCCAACCAGCAGCTTTGAGCTGGCCAAGCACTGGCTGTTGACGGCAGATGGGGAGAAAACTAGACATGGAATCTCTTGTCTTTCTCTTCCTCTGCCTCTCATTCTCACTCTCCCTGTCTCCCTATCGAGCAATACTCAAAATGATGCAATAATTTCAGATGTTTCATACACACCAACTCAGAAATCCATCCACAAATATCCTGGAGGGTTTCCAGGATTAAGAACATGCACTCAGAGTAACTCATTCCTCAGCAACCAAGGATGTGTAGAGGAAGACACGCAGCTTGGACAGTGGTCAGAGCACAAAACAAAGACAGCAGCATCCCAGAGGACCAGGAAGACATGGGGGAAAAAGAAGTACTTATAGTGTAGGTATTTGGAAATAGGAAGTCATAGAACTAACAACCCTCTTAGTGAGATCTGAGATCAAACAAGTGGGTGTGATTTCCAGCATCTTCTAGAGATCAGCAATTCTTGATCTGAACACGGTCACCCAGCTACTATCTCCCCGTGGTCACCACCCCAATGAGAAATACGAGCTGAACAAGGTCCTGCAGAGGGTGGCCCTAACAGTGACCTTCAGGAGAGGGAGAGCCCAGAATGGAAGCAGAGCTGTGCTCCTGAGGAAGAGTCCCTGCATGGAGGCCACAACAGGGACAGGGAAAGCAGAGATACCTCCCATGCAGGGGAAAGTCCACACAAAGAGGAGGGGCAGGGCAGAGGGAGGGGAGGCAGAGGAACCATCAGCTCACTTACCAGCATACAGCTGCGCCTTCCTCCAGCCTGAAAGGAAACACACCTGTGAGACCACAGCCACCACCTGCTCAGCCCCCACCTGCCCTCTGTGCTGAGGGGAGAGACAGCAGGAGGAGGGAGGCTGCAGAGGAGTGGCCTCCTGCAGGTTCAAACAGCAGAGGACTGTGGGAAGTTCCTGGGCCACACATCAGGAAGCCTGCTCTGACCCACGGCTGTGTGACTTTTACTATAAAATTGATGCCTGAGCCTAGGGACACAGAGACTCCTGTGTCATGTGTCCCTCAGTGTTGCTTATCAGATAAAACAGAACATCACATTTAGTGAAAATTATAATTGACTATGTATGACAATTAGTTATTACATATCATTTCCAGAAAGTAAAAATTGGAAAAATTAAAACACAGAGAACATGGGATTCCAGGGTTGAATATCAGGCTAAGCCATCACTTATAGCACAGGATTCCAATATGGGGGCAAATGCAAAACACAGCAGCACCACTTCTGATCTGGATCCCTGCTACTTGACATTGGAAGGCAGAAAATGAAGTCCAAAGGGCTTGGAACATTACAACCACTTAGGAGACAAAGAAAAGCTCCTGGTCCCTGGCTTTAGCATCAACCAGAACTGGCTATTGTGGCCATCTGCAAAATGAACTAGCAGATGGAAGACATTTGTCTCTATAAAATTCACAGCCCCAATTATTACTTTCGAAATATAAAGTAAATCTTAAACATATTTATAAAAATAAATATGGAGAGAGAGGAGAAACCATTACTTGGAAATATTCATCTTCTCCCATCACAGGCTGCACCTGGTCCTATTCTCGACCATTAGCACCTGCACCTGTGCAGAACAGGACAAAATGCCTCACCCTGCTGACACGTTGAGAAGGAAGCAGGTCACACTCACAAGCCCAGTGTGCCATTTACTCATATCCCACCTCCCATGAAACCTGGAACATCTGTTCTTGGCTTCCTGATGCAGACCCAAATGTGGCGCATTGCAGGTTAAGACAGCAACAATAAACAAGGGAGGGACACATGTCAGAGTTGGAATAAAACTCAGGTGGCAGGACAAAATACTTGGCCTAGGTTTGCACCCTGGGCTTAAAGAGAGGTGGGAAACAGCTGCATGGATGGAAAAACACACTGATCCAGGATTAGCCACCCACCACTACCACTGCTGCCCCCCCAGGAAGGGGTCCATATCTCTGTGCCAGGACAGAAACAAGGAGAGGGAACAACCAGGCATAGCTGGGACAGGAAACCACAAATCATTTGCAAAGTCACTCACCAGCCCGGAATGCTGCCTTCCTCCAACCTGAAAAGCACCACACAGGGAACAGGTGAGCTGACAGCCACAGGATTCTCTCCAGCAAACACAGAGCTCAGGAGGGAGAGCAGAGCTTACCGAGTTCTGCCTGGAGCTCATCTGAAAGAGAGTGGAAACACCATGAACGCCACACCAGGAAGAGGAGAGGCCATGTGCTGAAGACCCCACAGGAAAGCCCTCTGCTCTGTGCTATACACAGCTCTGACTCCAGACCCAACATACCTCCACATCCCCCCCCCCCAGCAGCTCTGCTCTGAGTCTCCACAACCACCTGCTCAAATTTGGGGTCCTGGATGTCCTCTGAGAGCTGCACCCATGGACTCCAGTCATGTCAGGCTGTCCCCTCTATGCACCAAGTGCTGCCCCTGCCCTTCTGAAACCTTCCTCCTTACCTCTGGACTTCAGCGCCTCTTCCTTTGCCTGCTGGTCTTCTTGCTTAGCCCGGCACAGATCCTTCCGTCTCTGCCTTTCCCACACCTTTGCAGAATGCTCTCTCTTGGTGACCCAGCCAGCTCCAACAAGTAGCAGCCCCAGCACAGTCAGGCTCACAGCGAAAGCTGCCTTCCCGGGAGAGGCCTGAGGGAAGAACGGCTCTGTGCCCAGCAGGACACACAGTCAGGGGAGGACTCAAGCCCAACCAGCACACCCAGGGACACCGCCCTCTCCAACCCTACTGGGAAAGAACAGACAGCACTGACCTGGGATCGGGATGGCCATGACCTTCTCCTGGCCCAGGATGGGATTGAGGATGGAGCAGGCAACGTTACCTACAGAACTGTCTCTGACCACCAAAGCAGCCTCCACGCTGAACAGCCCTGCTGCATCTTGTGTGTGGTCCTCAGAGAACTCCAGCAACTTCCCTCCACGGACGTCTCTCCACTGCACTTGGGGCTTCGGGAACCACCCTGAGGCCTTGCAACCCACACGGACTCCATCCTTCTCTGGCCCTTCAATGTGCACTTGTGGGGCAGAGCCCAGGCCTGCAAGAGGGGAGCTGTGGAGATCTTGGGGAAGCTACAGGGGAGCACAGTTTCAGCAAAGTCTAGTGTTGCCCACATTCACATGGAGCCATGCATGTTGCATTCTTGGACCCCATGGAAAAAGCATGCCCTGAAGGAGACCAAGAGCCCTGGGACCTTTAGGAGGCACAGGTTAAGGGGGCATTTATAACTGAGGTCCTAGATAACAGAAAATATTGGATCCCAGGACTTTGCCTTGATTCTGTATCCTTCTCACCTCACTGCCCTTGACATCTGCTTCTACACACACTGCCTCTGGAAATTGCTTGCAAAACCACACCAATCAAAACCCCTTTTCCCAAGCTCCCTTCCTTATATCCACGTATCTGTGTGTTATCTCAACCAATTGCCTTATAAACATTTGAAACTCAAACATTGAGCACTGAATTCACAATTTTGACATCTTAGTGAACTGATTATAAAGTACCTCTTAAACCTTATCCTTCTTTATGCTGAGCTAGTGCTTCACCATGTGCTTTGTAATTCATTAACATTCAGAAATTCATCATGTGACTCAATTTGGCCAATAAAAAACTAGATAATGTGGCTTAAGCAGAGGCTGGGAATGTTCTCGTGTTATTTGTTTACTCTCAGCCATTTCCACAAGAACAAAGTGCCTGGGTAGGCCCTGGAGGACAGGACTGTTGGGATGTCACTGGTCACACAGGCGCTCTGGTTGAGGATGCCCTAGGAGAGCCAACAGTCATCTGACCAACAGAAACGGGAGCACACAGAGCCTCTTCAGTGACCTCTTCAGCTGATGGAAAGCACAAACAGCAATTAGAGTAAGATTTCAGTCTCCCTGTTGTAATGAGATGAGAAATTCCCCTCTCCTCTTTTTTTCTGCAACTGTTCACTTTAGATCGCTGGGAACTGTAGGCACCTCTTCTTGTATGGAATATGAAGGTGTAATTTTGAAAAAAAGACAGGACTTTTAATGACTTAATGACCCAGGTATGTCTTTCATTGCCCAGGAGACAGCATGCTGAAATGGCACCATCAAAAGTTTCAGCTCCCCTCTATCATTTTCTTTGAAAGCATCAGGGCCTCACTATGTTGAAAAACCACCTGCTAGTATAGAATGGAAGAAGTTGAGATTGCCTCAAGGTAAAAGCAATTAACCATTACAATAATCAAGTGAATTTCTAGTGAATTGCATGTAATATTTAGTATGCCAAGTGTTATTATTGGAGGAATAATTGTAGTTTGTTTCTAAAACTGTGCATGAGGTTGTTTGTTACAGCAGGTAAAGTAATGCTGGGGATGGCCACATCTGAGTGCTGGGTTCGAGTTCCCCCTGTTTCCAATCAAGCTTCCTCCTGATGGGCACATTCTAAGCCATTGATTCAACAATCGATACTTCTTACTGCTCTGGACCCATGCAATAGGCCCTCATTGCTTCAGAAACAGAAAAAGGATAACCTGATAAGAACCACCAAGATCCAGCAGCCTGTGGCTGCATCAGTGGCTATAATCATTGTATCTGTTACAGTTCCTGCTGGCACTGCAGGTTTTCATTAAGCTTTAGTGCTAGAGTATCTCTGCCAGCCATGAACCAGGGACCCAGCACATTCACCCACACGAGGTAAGGGGCCAAATCCAGAGAGCCCTGGCGTAGAGGGAGAGACAGCTGAGCATCTGCACAATGGCTTTCAGCAGGCTCCATCCTGGACCATGCACAGACTCACACCACCACACATCAAGGACACATACTCAGAGAAGGTCACTGGCCCTTGAGAGATCACAGAGTGCTGGCTGGCAATGAACTCAGCCAGAATGCAGCCCAGGGCCCTCCAGGCACAAAATGACAGAGACAAGGAGAAGAAGAACAAGGTCACAAGACAGTGAACAGAGTTGGCCCTCAGCATAATGGCTGGTACACTCCAGGGTCTCTCTATTCCTTTAATATATCTGCTTCTTCCCTCTCATGCCCAATTGGCCCTTGAGTACCAATGTGTCAAACAAAGACCCCAACTGAAAAAAATGAAATTGTAACATGTATAAAGATATGGAATGCATATTGTACCTGCTTGTCTATATTAAAAAGAAAGAAAGAAAAGAAAGCTTTCTTTCTGTCTTCACAAGCATTGATGGAGTTCCTGTACTGTGCAATGTGTTCAGGTGTGATTCTCAGCAAAGTGTTGTCTTCCTGTAGTACCTCTGCTGGCAGGATTTCTTGGAAACAACCAGGTTTTGATATCACTCCCACAACAAGGCCAACAATGTTGTGAGCTACACAAATGAGATTAGCTAAGCCCAACTCAAGTTGTTTAAATCCCTCAGTGCCAATATTGAATTCTGCAATATTCCACTGAGGTTTCCTGGCTGTTCCTTACACAGTATTATCACAAAAAGCATCCATGACACATAGTCGCCAATATTTCCACCACTAAGAACAAGCAGCCAAGGCAAACCCTCACAGTCCCTGCAGTCCCCACCTCCCCCACTGAACGCTCTGTCTGCAATGAACTCATGAATCAGGTCAGGCTACTAAACATCCCCCATGGCTCACATCTGCTCTCCCAACCCCTGCTGCTGCCTGAGGTCACACACTGGTCCCCTCCACCTCACACCTCCCTCCATGGCCCCCTCACTCACTTTCCATTACACATCTTCACACCCATCATAGAGAATCCTCCTACCACTGATGTATTCAAATTTCCCTGCTTTTCATCCACACTCCCAGCACAGCACACACAGCCTGCAGCCATCTGACATCTGCCTCACACTTGAAACCCCTTCCCCCTGCCTCCTTCTCTGAACCCACAATCTGCTCCACAGGACCCACACATCCAGTCCTAAAGACCCTTTAAATCACAGTGGATGACTATGGTCATGTGCCTTACAATTGCCTGCCTTCTCTCATTCCATCCATAGAGGATCCTGGGATTTTCACAGCAGTACTAGTGTGTCAACACAAGTGCTTGTGACAAATGATCTTTTCTCCTGATCAGTGGGAACTGCTACTCCAGGTTACCTAGCTCTTTGTTGCAGCATTGTCACTACACATTGTCACATTGCCTTCCCCCATCATCACTTCTACCCACACAACACAATGGCCTCCCTGTATGCCAGAGCATGCCAGACATCTCCTGTACCAAAGGTTTCACACTGCATACCTCACTACTTTGAAGCTTGTTCTGCTCCCCTCACCCAAATATCCAATTAGAGAGATAGCCACTTCCTTTGAGACATGCTGAGATCAACACTGAGGCCTCATGTGAACCCACAGGATGCCCTCGCTCCACTGCCCACAGCCACATTCCCTCTACTTGATGCTCTCTTTAGCACCTATTACCTTCTAACATCATTAAACTACTCGTTTATTTTCCTTGTTTTTGTCTCAGCCTCTGGATCATAAACTCAACAGGTATCCTCCCTGGTATCCAAAACAACGTATGGCACAACTTAGGTTCTTCTCATGCAAGATTTATATTGAAAAAGTGGATGGATGAATGAATGAGCTGCCTTTCCCTCATATGTGAAATGAGATACTGAATTACATGAGTTACCCCCCTAATCCAGTATACCCAGACTTCTAGAATACAAATCAAGTTACCAACCTGCCACCTGCAGTTCTAAAATGGCCTCTTCATATTGTTCTCCTTGTTTGAAGAGGCAAGTGTACTTGCCATTGTCTGAAACCTGTATGTTCTGGATGTGCACAGCAGCCTTGCCTTGGGAAAGAAGTCCCCTCACCAGTGAGGTCCGCCCTGCATACTGGGGCAGCTGCTCTTCATCCAGCTCCTGGCCATTATGATAGACAAGCACTGCTTCTGTGAATGTGGAACGGAACCACCACAGCTCCATGTCTTCTGCATTCATGGCTGGATACAGGAAGCAGGGCAGAATAGCATCACCACCCAACACTGCTACTATGGGTTTGGAGGGGCCAATCACCTGGAACACATCTGTGGGCACAGACACACGACTGAGAACAGACTGAGAACAGGGAACACACAGGCCGAGCCCATAAAGATCCATGAACACTTGTCAACATCCCTCACACTCCCCTGTTGGTCAGTGACTCTTCTTAAATGAGAAAGAATAATCAGGGTTGGGGAACGCCATCCTCTTCCCAGACTTGAGCCACACACCTCACCCCATCTTGGCAGAGAACATCAGGAGCTCCTCTCACCCCAGGGAGACCACGACAAGAATGGGAACACACTCACCTGCAGAGCCCCACGTGGGCAGCTGCACCAGGAGAAGCAGAGAAGGTAAACTGCAGAACAGAAAGGGGCAGCTGCCACATTCCATGTCATCAGAGGACAGGCAAGGAGGAAGCACTGGGCAGGAAGGAGGCAGGTCCAGCACAGAGGGCAGCTTCTAGATGGGGAGAGCAGGGCCAGGGTCACCCCATCAGCCCTCACAGATGACAACATCACCTACACGATCCTCATGCAGGCCATGTGGGGCCCACAGCACCCTGACAGCAGAGGAGCATCAGAGATAGCCCCATCCTCATGAGCCTGTGTGCTCATCACAGGCGCATAGCAACCTGCCTGATTTGAAGGCTTTTATGTCACTACAACTGGAATCACATCCAGGCTCCTTCCTCCATTTCCTTAGGATATGCCCTGCACTGAACAGAAATCCAGGATATTCCCACTGACAGGAGAATCCTCAATCTATACATGGGGAGATTTCTCCAAGAGCATCTAAAGGATCTTGAGGTGAGGCCACAGAGACAAGGACACGAGCATTGGTCAGAACAAGATGCCACCCACTGTTTGTGAGTAAAAAAAGGAAGAGGGCAGGCTTGGTCCTGGAAGGACAGGCTCAAGGGGCCCTTCTGCTGGGCTCCCTGCAGCTCAGTCACTCCCAGTGTCACCACTCAGACACAGTGTTTGACATTCCTGGACTCAGTCTCTTTTTCTGTCAAAGAGGAGGTAGCAGCCTCACCCACAATGCCCTGAGAGCTACATGACTTTGTATCTGTACGGTCACTATGAGAGGTTAGTCCTACTACAAACTTGAGAAATACGATTAGAAGTAATGAAACAAGGCACTATGATAAGCAACGTTTTCCTGGTCTTCCTGGAGACTTACCCAGCTGCCCCTCCTGCCAGGCTGCCTTTCCACATTTTCAACCTCCTCCCAGCCTGCTGCTCCCTGCCTTCCTCCTCCCCAACAGGTGTCCTCAACCCAGCTTACCTGCTCCTCTTTGTCCTCAGTGTGAACAGCTGTGACTTCCTACAGGGTCTCTAAACAACAAATTCAGACAGAGACCCCAGCAGTCCTCACCTCCAAGCTTCCACCTGCCCTGGGCTGCCCTCACAGCCACTGGGTCCTCTGCCAGGTCCACTTCTGGGCCCGGGGCAGCTACTCCCAGGAGACATTAGGCTCCCAGGAGACCAGAACAACACAGTGGGCACAGCTGCAGCAGCCTCTGCAGAACCCTGACCCCAGGACTACTACACCCTCCCAGCCATAAGCACCAGCCTCTCTCTGGTCCCTGGCACAATGTAAAGTGAAAGTTGCCCCAGCAGGACAGGGAGTACCTGCCCTGTGGACCTTGTTCCCTGCTCTCAGCATGAACAGGGACATGGACAGCCCTATAGCTGCCTGGGGAGTGGCAGCTGCACAGCCTCTCACAGCTCCAGCCACTCCTCAGCCCCTCCTCTCAGTCACCACCTGCATGGCCCATCAGGGGGTTGCCCAAAGACTAGAGATGCTAAAAAGCAGCTAAATTTTACTCAGTGTGTATTAGCTGTCAGGATCTAAGCTACACACATTAGCTTCCTGCCACCTCCTTGTCACATCTGTAAACAGAGTAGAACATGCGCCCTGTCATGTCCAGATCCAGGAACTTCCCAGAGGAAACAGGAAGGTAGAGCTGCAGGGAGACTGCAACCTCCAGTGTCCCCACTCTCCCTCCCAGCCCAGCCCAGCCCCACTTCCAAACATTCCAAACAACACAAAGTGAGGAAGAGCTGGCAAAGGAACAGACTGTCAGGGCCTCCAGTTGATATACTGCCTGGAAGCTTCTCTCACCTTGCAGCCCAGAACTTTGCCTTGCTTATCAGGCAGAGGAAGGAGCACCCAGCCCAGGACAGTTTCTGTAAAACACACCCATAGGCCCTGTGAACTGTAGAATGAGGCCAGTAAGAAGCAATACCACCTCCCAGTTCCCCAGGACCCAGGCCCAGCAGCTGTAACATGAGCGTGTCCACTGATCCACCAAGGCTTTCCCCCTGAAATATAAATGATCCTAATAGTGTTAGGGTTAACATGTTACTTCCGTGTCAGCAGGCAGGTCATACCTCTTAGTAGTTCTAGTACTTTCAACTTAGTTTTGAGTAAGAGTCTCAGACATAAAGTGACAGACAACACAAAGTATATTAAACATGTTACTATTTTAAAATACAACAGTTGGGGCAGCTGCTGTGACATACTGGATTAAGCTGCAGCCCGAGACACCTTCATCCCATAAAGACACTTATTGAAGTCCTAGCTGCTCCAATTCTGTTCCAGCTCCCTCCTAATTCACCTGAGAAAGCAGAAGACAACTCCCACTGGGGACTTGGAGGAAGCTCCTGTCTCCTGGCTCTAGATCAGCTGAGCTCTGGCCATTGCAACCATTTGTAGAGTGAAATCAGCTTATACAAGATCTTTATCCCTATCTCTCCTCTCTGTAAACCTGTCTTTCCATTAAACTTAAATCAATCTTTAAAAACAATTATTTTCTAGTTGCTCATTTTCCAGAATCAAACAAAAAATAAGAGACACATGTTCACGTGTGAGCACACACACACTGAGTGGTATTTTTTTTTTCTACTTTATAAAGTTTTTCCTTTCGTCTGTCATGAACCTGGCTGATGGGCAGAGCTGTGGCCTGACAACCTGCTGGGCAGAGCCCCAGGGGACAATTCCTCCTTCTGGGCCTGTCAGTCTGCACCTCATGGGGAAGAGCCCTCCCAGGCCAGGCTGTCACTCCTTTAATGATACAACCCCAGCTCATAATCAGCTTTCTGCTCCCTCTCCCTCCCAAGGACCAGGGTCTGCCCAACCCCACCCAGAGGTCAGCCACAGAGTCCTCCTGGCCTAGGACCCCTGCTGTCCAACCTTGCTCTGAATAGACTCCCACACACTGCCAAGCCTGAGTCCAGAGGAGGTGAGGAGGTCTCACTCTCCTCCAGCCTCTGAGATGCACAAGGGCATCAGAACATTCAAGGAAATAGAATCAAAAGATGAGAATCAGAGATGACTCTGGTGCAAAAATGTTGTAATCTAATTTCATAGAATGCATTTATCACAAGTTATAGTAGTAACCTTAGAAAAAAATTAGTTCTGATACAAAAAGATATTCTTAGAGAAATTTGATTCATTGATTCATTTTGTTATCTTAATAAATAGGCAATATAAAAATTAGAAAGCAGACATAAAGAAGCAATGAGAAACTAAAGAAAGTAAACGTAAGAAAAAGAAAGGCAATGATTGTAACGAGAAAAATATTCCCGACATCCCTGGGTGACAGACCCAAAAGATACACACTCCCCAGGCACCACCTGCCAGTGGCTGAGTCCCAGAAGGCCAGCGCCTATCCTGCCCAGATGGCCTGCCCAATACGTGACCACAGAGGAATCCTCTAGAGAGAGTCACACACACATCCTCAGGTCATAGTAAGTCAGAAAAATTCTTGACAAGTCATGGTGGAGTCCAATTTTGGTCTCTCCCAAGAGAACGGGGGAGAAGGCTGGCGCAGAGAGAGAGAATGGAGGAAGTGCCTAGGGCAGAAGAGTCTGGAAGGACCAGGACAGACCAGGACATAATCCTGGAAATGCAGGTTGAATCTTTGCTCCTCTCCCAGGCAGAGCTGTGGACATTGCCCTATGGTGACGACTGGTCAATGACCACCAGCACATCCTGGGCTTCTGTCCCTCTGAATGAGGCAAACATCCTTCCTGCTTCACTCCACTGTCAGGTGCTTCTGGCTGTTCTCACCTCAGGGCTGAGACAGGGTTAGCAACAGGAGGAAACATGCCCAGGTAAAAACCCAACAGGAGCCACGCCTGACCCAAAGTTCCACTGAGTGCCCAGTGAGGCCGCCATGTTGGAGCAGTGGCCCTGGGGTGCTCCAGGGATCTGAGGAGCATGAGGGGGCAGCAAATACATGGGAGGGTTCTTCCAGAAGTTCCTGGAAACACAGTTCTGGGTTTAAAAAATTGTAATAATAGTAAGGTTGCACAGCACAATGTTACTTTTTCATTCTGCTTTTGCATAAACGTTTTAACATTGATGATTGTGTGACCAAAGGAATGCAGAGATCTTTGCTCCAAACCTCAGCTTTAGAAATTTCCCAAGCTGCAAGTGTCACAGGACCCAGGAGGATCTACCAGAAGGCCATCCCAAGGTGGTCAGGTTTACCTAGGATTCTGCTGCCCTCTTGTGGCCAGCACAGGGCAGGCCGAACATTCCCCTACAGGAAGACGCTGAGGGAGGATGTCAGAGCACCCTCTCCAGAAACCTTGGAAAAGTGGGTGGGAACACTGGAAACCAGACAGGAAAGGCCCCGCACACACGCTTCCAAACAAAGGGAGTGGAAAAATATATAGACCACGCACTGGTGGAGATTCGGAAGTTCTTTATTGCTAGCGGTGAGCAGGGGGCTCATGCCCTAAGACCTCTCAATTCCCAAATACCGAACAGCGGGGTCTGTAAAGGGGAAACTACCGACCAGGAGGGGCTCAGGTGGACTGAGCAAACACACTGAGCTAATGCAAATCTTAGAGATGAAAAATCTCTAATCACTAATTTGCAAGCTTTGGTTGCTATACCCTTTGTATTTGTATTTATATTTATATTTGTATTTATATTTATATTGGATAGGCAGATTTACAGAGAAAAGGAGAGAAAACGGTCCTCTACCCACTGATTCACTCCCCCAAATGACCACAACTGCCAGAGCTGAGCTGAGCTGAAACCAGGAACTTCTTCAAGGTCTCCCTCATAGGTTCAGGGTCAGAAGGCTTTGGGCCATC